TAGATTAGTTAACTACCTTCTCTCAGAGGTTCAAAAATTAGTTGTCTGCTACAAGCAATTTAGGAAGGAGGTTTCTACCTGCCTGCATATCTATATATATATTATCTTTGCTGGAAATAAAATAGTATGGGGGCTGCCAATAAAGTCTCAGGAAATAAGATCCCAGGAAAAAAAGTCCTGAAGAAAATAAATCCGAGGAAAAGAAAAACCTAGAATTGTGAATCATGCATTTTCACTTGTTAGAGGACTTTTTTCCGAGGACTTTTTTGTATAAAATCATACTGGAGCCAGAAAAAAGTCCTAGATAATAAAGTCTCGAATTGGTAGGAAACTTTTTTCCAACGACTTTTTTGGCGGTCCCCACCCTTTCATATCCTATCCTATTGTTGTAATCAGCATTATAATTAAACATTTCGAAATTGTTTCAGTAGAAAACAATGTATCTATTAGAGCTAAACAACTTTGCCAAACCGACCTATAAGAAAACCGAGCAATAAGAAAACCGACCTATAAGAAAATCGACCTATAAGAAAACCGACCTAAATATCTATTTAGACAGAGAGACGATTTAATTCCGTAAAACGCGTGGGGAGTTAAAACTTTTTCTGAAAACTACTCGATAATTAGTTCAGATACCCTTTAGGTCAGTTTTCTCTAGGTCAGGTTACAATGAATTAAAATGTGTATGTTAAAATAGTATTTAAACCTGATCAGAAGAAAATGAGGAGGGAGAAGAACTTTCGACTTTCTTCTCTTCGTCGCTGCTTGATAAACCGATTCTAAAATATGGATATTGGTCGCTTAGAAAGAGATATAAAGGGAGTGTTCGCGAGAAATAAAAGGTGGTATTGGCTGTACCTTAATCGATTAACGCCAATTTTATTTGTATCTATAGTGTCTCTAATAAAAAAATGATTGAAATAAAGAGTCAATATCAATACACAAAGTTTCAATATCAGAGTGATGACTTAAATCGAATTCTGCAATACAAAAATTCCGAATATCAAATTATCAAATCATAAGAGTTGTTTTTCTACACAGAACGGGAGTGTACTAGCTTAAATATTCTTTCCCAATTTCGTGGATTTTAAATAACGAAGACGTTGTTTTCAATCAATTAATGTCATAGTTGATCAGTTGCACATTAAAATTTAATTGAGTTTCGACTGTGATATGTGCAAAAAATTTGCATTTATCTAAAAAGCATCTCTGCAATTTTGTGTTACTTTGAAATTTAAGGAATTGGGTCTCTGCCACAAACTAACATTTTTTAATCCCTATCTGTGCAACCTTATAGCGTAACCGTTGATATTTCAAAGTTAGATTATTTAATCAAACAGAATTTATAGTTTGAAATATCTAAGGTCCACAACATTTGGTTGCAAAGATAAAAATTGTATGATATATATACTTGTGATTTCTATAGCTCAAATCTCAGGGATTTATACAGTAGGGATGTTCAAAAACTCCTTAACTCATGGAACATTGCTATTCGCATTTTATTTTATCTATACCAAGAGAAACCCATAGATATTTCATTGAACCCATTTCTAATGCTCCCCATATTAAAACAGTTTTATGCACTCGTTTTGTACAATTTGTGACCAATTTATCAAATTGTCATAAGCTATGTATTCGACTTTTAGTAGATCTAAGTAAACATGATAATGTACAACCTAGAAATCTAAACAAATTTTGCGTGAAACAAAATATGATATACAATCATATTCCTTTAGACCAAGAATGGAAATTACCCATTCTTCATGAATTACTTAAAGTTATAGAAGATAATTGGGTTCTAAACAACTTTGATGATAATGAGATCGCAACCATGATCAACTTTTTATATTCCGACTAGAAACTATATTTATATATTATACTTTATTCTTGTTTTTGTCTTTTCATATTGTACCATTTTACCTTCGTATACGAAATAAATCTATAATAATAATAATATAGAAAAGGGATTAAAAAAACCTAATTGGGGACAAAGACTTAATTCCTTTGCCGTGTATATGTAGAAAATATTTATACTAATATTTAAAAAAAATTCACATTATGAGAAACCCTGCCTGAAACTGGGGTTTCCAACACAAATGGATTTTACTTGCGCACCCTGTCATCTCCGCGCAATTCCGCACAATTCCGCGCAATACGAGAAGACTTGCGCGCAATTCCGCGCAATTCCGCGCAAAGGAATTCCGATTGGAAACTATACCCTTCACATTAAAAAAATTTACTTACATTTTGGTGAACTCCTTTGTACTGCGTACAACTGTTTTCTTTTGGTTCCGGTCTTTTCTGTACAATTTGGCTCTTCTTTTTAATCCAACTGAAGAAAATAATCCGAATAATGTCATCATGGATTATAATTTCAATTTACTTTCCATTTAAACAAGACAATGGAAGTTATCGTCGATTAATATCTCATGTATTATTTATGAATTGATTTCTATGTTTTAACCTTTAAACTTACCTCTGGGAGAAAACACTGGTTTTCCATTCTTCATTAGTTTCCCATTAGAACCTAGATTAGTTTCCCATTAGAACCTAGATTAGTTTACCATTAGAACCTAGATTAGTTTACCATTAGAATCTAGATTGGTTTACTAGTAGAACCTAGATTAGTTTACCATGAGAACCTAGATTAGTTTACCATTAGAACCTAGATTAGTATACCATTAGAACCTAGATTAGTTTCCCATTAGAACCTAGATTAGTTAAACATTAGAACCTAGATTAGTTTCCCATTAGAACCTAGATTAGTTTACCATTAGAACCTAGATTGGTTTACTAGTAGAACCTAGATTAGTTTACCATGAGAACCTAGATTAGTTTAACATTAGAACCTAGATTAGTATACCATTAGAACATTGATTAGTTTCCCATTAGAACCTAGATTAGTTTACCATTAGAACCTAGATTAATTTACCATTAGAACTTAGATTAGTTAACTATTAGAACCTAGATAAGTTTTTCATTAGAACCTAGATTAGTTTACCATTAGAACCTAAATTGGTTTACTAGTAAAACCTAGATTTCTTCCTTAAAAAATGGCTTTTTAATATTAATATAGATGATCTGGCTGAGAATAAACAAGTTTACAGTTGCACAAGTAAGTTTCATCATTTGTAGATAAGGGTGTACGTAAAACGCTGACACAGAACACACTTTGATAACAGCAGCATAACGGATGATATCAAAGGAATTGAGTCTTTGCCACAATCTCTGATTTTCTAATCCCTATAATCTGTGCAACCCAATATCGTAGACCTTAAATATTTCAAAATATGAATTCTTTTAGATCAAATGAGCTAAGTTTCAAATATGCAAGGTGTACCATTAGAAACAAAGACAATTTGAGTTTGTAGCAAAAATGCAATTCCTTTATGTGGCATTATTCTGGTGCGCATTTAAAACCCTAGGATTTTAAAGCTTATTTTATTCTCATTTTATGTAGCTCTTTGTCAACAGGAGATGAGTTAATACATACGAGAATTTAAACTCGTATAAAACAAACTTCAGTTTAATGGCAGATATGGCTTTAATTGACTTATAAACTACAAAAAAAAGATAAAATTAAGCGATTACAAAAAAATTGAATTTTAACACAGAGAGATATTTTAAGCGATATTTTTAAGCGATATTTTAAAGCAAATTATTTATCCATTCTTACCCGAGTTCAGTGCGTTTTGTGTTCTCAGAAGTTCACTTTTTAGATATTACACATTTACGTGAGTCAAATTAACGTAACGCGCAGGTCTGCTACGCAACTATTCGTTTTAACAAGTTGAAAACAGAGACGTAAATAAGGGGGGTTATTGGGGTTACTTACCCCCCCTCCCTATAATCTTAAAATTTACCCCCCCCCCTAGAAAATCAATATTTACGCCCCTGGTTGAAAATGTGCGTATTCCTTAACTTTCAAATCTCCGTTTGTAAAGAAAAATATGCACATCTTTAACGGGTCCGTTTTAGAGATTGGTACTTATTATCTTTCAATTTTAACAAGTTCTTTTTAGGGGTCTTTACACACCTTTTCTAGTGACAAATTTAGCTTTTAGATGTTGCTTTTCAAATCATCATTGTTTTTTTTTCTTAATTTTAAGATTAAAATTTAGGTGGATTTACAAAATAAAAATTCTACTTTTTTAATCTTTTAATTTTGGCCGGAGATAAACCTTCCCTTGGTCATGTGAGTTGTCTTATCGGTTCAGACGTGTTGGCGTTTATTGGATATATTTTGTATGTATATATGGTAGCTATAGCTGGCCAAACGGCTGGACCGAATTAGCTAAAATTTTTGGATTAAAACTCATGTACCATGTGGGTAACATAAGGTAAAAAAATTCGAAATATTTTTTCTCCAAACATCGTTTTTTTAATCGAATTTTTTTATATTCGTTTTTAACTCCACGAGCAACGCCGGGCACTTCAGCAAGTAATAGATAAACGTATTTTAAAATGGATGATCTTGATTTGTATTATCCCTTAAAGCACTGCTAGGTGAGCCAGTGTTAACCATATTGTCGTATTCTCTTATGTTGTAGCAGTAAGGATCCTTTTCACTGCATCTTAAACATACATTTTATCAATACAACTCCTTTCACTGCATCTTAAACATACATTTAATCAATACAACATTTTTCACTGCATCTTAAACATACATTTAATCAATACAACATTTTTCACTTCATCTTAAACATACATTTAATGAATATAATTCTTTTCATTGCATATTAAACATACATTTTATCAATACAACTCCTTTCACTGCATCTTAAACATACATTTTATCAATGCAACTCTTTTCACTGCATCTTAAACATACATTTAATCAATGCAACTCTTTTCACTGCATCTTAAACATACATTTTATCAATACAACTCATTTCACTGCATCTTAACATTTTATCAATGCAACTCTTTTCACTGCATCTTAAACATACATTTAATCAATGCAACTCTTTTCACTGCATCTTAAACATACATTTTATCAATACAACTCATTTCACTGCATCTTAAACATATATTTAATCAATACCACTCTTTTCATTGCATATTAAACATACATTTAATCAATACAACTCCTTTCACTGCATCTTAAACATACATTTAATCAATACAGCTCATTTCACTGCATCTTAAACATACTTTTCATTAATACAACTCATTTCACTGCATCTTAAACATACATTTAATCTATACAACTCTTTTCACTGCATCTTAAACATACATTTAATCTATACAACTCCTTTCACTGCATCTTAAACATACATTTAATCTATACAACTCTTTTCACTGCATCTTAAACATACATTTAATCAATACAACTCATTGTAGTTGCATTAAAGGGAGTGTTCGTGAAAAATGAAAGGGGGTATAGGCTTACGTCGATGGTGATTGCTACTAATCTTTCTTCTATCTGTTGTGTCTAAAAGGAAAAAAATGTTACAAACGACTCATACCGAATAACGCATAGCGTCCATCCTGATTTACTTTTGAAAACGTTAATTCCTGTATCGAGGGTTTTTGATATTGAAGACGACATTTTCATGTGTTCTAGGAATGTTCGAAAATCCATTTTATTAAAAATCAAAAATATCATGGAATATCACCAATATACGAATGCGTCGAAAAAAATTGATGATTATAGATTGTAATATTTGAATGATTCATTTCGAATTAAATTGATTTTTATACGATCCGAGTCGAATATTGCAACTTTGTGAATTTGTATGAACGCTACGTTCTTCAGTACGAGTTATGTTCAACCATTTTATAGACGCAACATATTGAATTAAGATTTGAAGCTATCACATTTGAATATTTTACGACAAAAATTGTTCTACAAAAAAGAAAAATATCATCAGCATCAATATAAGTGTATTTAAGTGATGGTGGCTAAAATAAATAAATGTTTAAATATTAACATAATGTTAAAATGTATAAATATATGGATGGTTAAATGTAAACATATATAGATGGTTAGGTGTATAAATATATAGATGTTTAAATGTGTGTATATATATATATATATATATATATAGATGTTTAAATGTATAAATATATAGTTGTTTAAATGTATAAATATATAGATGTTTAAATGTATAAATATATAGATGTTTAAATGTATAAATATATAGATGTTTAAATGTATAAATATATAGCTGTTTAAATGTATAAATATGTAGATGTTTAAATGTATAGATATATAGATGTTTAAATGTATAAATATATAGATGTTTAAATGTATACATACCTAAATGAACCGCTATTAATGCTTTCTAGTTGGTTTTCTACTGAAGGATATTTTGACCAGGTTAATACTGCCATCCATCTAATATAAGAAATAATATATACGACTAGGCTTTTTTATTTCAATTTTTATATAGTGGGTCTATCTATGAACATCTTTTCTTTTTATATTATAAAACAATAACAAAACATTTCGTGATCTATGATTATTTTTCGCGGATTTTTAAAATTTTACTAAAGTAAAAATAATTTTAGCTTTTAATTACTGATCATCGATAAACCTTTCCTGTGGTCATGTGAGGTCCCACAAAAAATTAGCCCCGATTGGTTCATCCGTTTTGACGTTTACTGGATACAAATGGACAGACACCCAGACAAGCAAAGTATTATAAATATGTTTAACCAAGATCATTTGTTATCATTAGATGATGTGTTTTTAACCACTGGGTCTGTTCAACTTGACCCTCATTTGTGTACATTCAAAAAACTGACTCTACGCCTCATGCTTAAAGTCAGACTGCGTGAATACAAATATTTGTAATGACAAAATATAGTTCTGAATGTAGGCCTACCGTCCTACGGACAATCAACGGATAAGAAGTATTTTTAGTAGGAATTGCAGCTTGCATGCAAAGATATTAAAACTTTTTAATTATGATCAAATTGTGAATCGTCTCAATCTTTTACTTAAAGATAATTTTACTAAATCAATGGAAAAAATGAGATTTTCTTCTAAAACATTTTTGAGTCAAATTAACACTTAATGATGTTCAAATCAAAATGTAAATTTGACTGAATAATAAAATCATAAAATAATAATTTTCTATAAAATATTTTACAAAAAATTTACTTTGCCATGGTTCTTAGATAAATTGGAACTGGTACACCTCGTCTCCCCTGGTGGTGAATCCTAAAATCAATAATTTATTTTAAAAAATTGAAAAAAACTGAAGTTTTCTGTCTTTTTACAATAAATAACCGAATCATTTTTGGATACTGAATACGGGAAGTTCTTTTTTACCTCTGCATTAGTTAAGAGAACTTTAAATCTTTTAGATAAAATTATTTTGTTACTTTTATTAAAATAGGTAAATTTGTATAGCATATACTCGTATCTATAGCGAATAGAGTTTAAGGAAAATATTGAAAAAATTAACCGCTTTCTTTAAAAATGGTATTAATTACAAATATAAGGTTTAAAAAGAACTACTTTCCATTTCATTTTTACTTTTCATGGAAAAATATGGAAATGACTTTAACCTTTTTTGACAACTTTGAAGCAGTGTTGGCTGTTGAGTTAAAATACTAGTTTAATTATGAAAATTTTAAATTTTGATATTTAAAAAACTTTATTAATTAATTTTCTAGATATTTGCCGGCCGTGGATTCAATCAAATTGTTGCAAACCATAAAACTAGGTTTTTATAAAGGTATGTAAGTCCAAACCCTTCAAGGATTCAATGATAAACACGAGAGCGTAGCCCTATTATTTTTGCCGCGAACTCAAATTTTTCAATTCAAATATCTTTGCAACTTGATGGTGTAAACCGTTGATATTGCAAATTTAGACTATTTGATCAAACAGAAATTATTGTTTAAAAGATCTATAGGGTCTACGACATTGGGCGCTCCAAAGGTATAAGGTTTAGAAAATTTTAGCCTGCGACAGAGATTCGATTCTTTACCATTGATAATAATTTTTCTAAAAGTAAAAAAAGTTTCTTTGTAAAGAACTGTTTTTACGCCTTTAGATTAGCGGGTTCCAGGGAAAGAAGTCGAGTCTTTGACCCAAACATCGATTTGCTAAACCCTGTATCTTTGCTACCAAATGTTGTACACCCCAAAGACTTTGCTAATTATAAAGACGAGGCGTTGGAAATTTATCCGACTATTGTGTACGCCAGTACAGCTGTATTTTGACGTCATTGGTTATTTTGGTTGTTTGAGAGTCTAACGATCGACACTAAAACCTTAGTTATTGAAAACAATTGTGAATGTTTTGTGCTAAAAAATAACTAAAATTAACGATATTTATTTGTATTTTAAAATTTATTTAATCATTTGTTGGATATGAGGATCGTCTGGTGAATTATAGCTGAATTTGTGATAAAGTTACACATCTCTTTTGTATTAAAAATATCCAATAATTGTTAGTGACAATTTTCAGATGTCGTCAAATATTTTCCTGGGTTTTATGGAATGGAATTTTAGGCGATGAAGAAGAGAGGGGACCAGAAATTTCAAATATTATAAACGGTAAATAATTTTTTTGTAAATGTCATCTTCTGTTTAATCTTAGGCAAAGAAATGATATCGCATAAATTAATGTATTACTCTTACTCTTCAATTAATTTATGGGAATTTTGTTTCAAAATATCCGCCAATAAAGAAAAAATATCACAGAAAGCTTCGTTAAAAATGCGAATTAAAGGACGACCTTTGACTTTTAAAGTTGATTACAATAGTTTTGAGGCATGAATTACTGGAGGATTTTAAAAAGAGTGATTACAGAAATACATTGGTAAAAATAAAACTGGGAAATATAAAGACGACTTTTGGACTCAATTTTTGATTTAATAGTTCAATGAACATAAAATACTGCAATTGAGCAGTGAACAAGGAGATTGTCTAAATTTCCTCTTCAAATTTCGGAGTATTATGTATACAAGTTCAATGAACAATTCTGATAAATTCAGGTTAGTCGGTGCCACTGCCAAGAAAGTATTTATGATAACCAACTGCCAAGTCAACCAAGAACAGGAGAGTCTGCGTTTACAATGCCAGCAGACCCAAAAAGAAAAAAGTTTGGACGAAGTCTCTTTAATTGGATCATTATAGGAATTCCTTACAGAGAAATATCCTGATTTTGTAAAAACTATTACATTGTTAAATAAATATTATGATAATAATTCATTTAAATCAGGTAGAGATAGAATTCAATCTTGAATGAAAAAGTAATGAAATAATTGATTACTGTTGAAAAGTACAAGGTTACATGCATACACGATACGTGACATTAATTTTCTTCTTATAAACACTTAATATACTTAATTCAAACCAAAAGTAAATGTTCTAAAGGACTGATAGATGTAATTTCAAGTTACCAACCCATTAAAGGTCTTATTAACAACGGTACCATTTAAACATTTATCTGGGTAACAATGAGGAAGATGTCGTCGTTATTTTAACTTAATAAGTGATGAATTTTGTAAATTACGTTCATTGTCTTTCCACTAGTCACTTTTATGGACTATGGACAAATTAAATATTTCAAGATAGAAAAACCAAAGTTGTTTCCTCGTTTTGTTTTTAAATAGCTATACAATTCCTTACAATTAACAAAAGACGACATTATGAAACGTCAGCATTTCTGGAAAAGACGACATTTGTTACGATCTTTCGGTACCCCAGAAAATGCGTCTTTAATTAGCAAAGTCTTTGGTACACCTTAGATATTTCACACTAAATCAATTCAGTTTTATCAAATAATCAAATTTTAAAACATTGAAGGTTAAAACCATCTGGTTGCAAAGATATAAGGATTAAATTTTTTTTGTGGCAAAAACTCAATTCCAAAAAAACTATTTCTATAATGTATATATAATATATTTAAATCATATTTTTACCTTAAAACTATGACTCCAAGGACTGTGGCTGCAGTTGTAAGAATCATTGTAATCGCAAAATATATACCTAAGATATTTACCGAAAATAAATACCTTAACTAAATATCTAAAATAATTATCTAAAATTAAATACCTAATAGTCTAAAACCTAAACTAAATATCTAAAATAATTACCTAAAATTAAATACCTGATAGTCTAAAACCTAAACTAAATAACTAAAATAATTACCTAGAATTTAATACCTAAAAGTCGAAAATTAAAAGAAATATCAAATACAAATTTACTTAATTGCAATTTTTAAACACCAACAATATTATTTAAAAACTTTTTCGTGCATTATGGTGGGAGCGTGGAATTTTGCAATGCAAATTTTACAGAATTTTTCAAGAAAAATGGAAGCAGGAATATCTCACGAAATATGTTAATTGTTGCCAAAAACTTTTAATTTACACAGAAGAAGAACCCCTTACAGATAAGATGGCAACAAAAATTAAAATTTCAAGCGGAAAAAGGTGCGCGAAGCCAAGGATTTATTGCAAGGAAAGTTATTTCAAAGGTGTGCGCATCTTTTGTACTGCAGTGTACTGTCTCTGGGCGGTAATGTAAACACAAGACGGATGTCGAAGCTTGACATGGGATCCATCTTTCACATAAAAAATCAATGAAATATTCTGGTTATAAGAAACTATTATGTGAATTATCAAAATTATCAAAATTCAATGTTTTAACCTCCTCGGATATTAAACGAACACTGATGCATCTATTCATTTTTACAAATTCCGCCCAGAGAGAACTGGTTTCAATATGTACGCAGAGTATACGTAACTGCAATTAACTTTCTTTACACGAAGCGAAGTGTTTTTAAAAGTACAAACTTAGAATCGGAGTCTCGTCTGTTGGAGGGAGCCCTGACATTACTGTCATTAAGAACACGGTCATGTTCAGCATTGTCGAGATACCTCAGGTCAAACACTTAATAATCACAGTAATACAAAGTGTGCACGCTTGTGAATAAAATCGCCGAAATGTTTCCAATCAGACATGAAGGTAAAATGAGGATTTCTTAATACTCATTTCTCCTTATTGGCTGGATAATGATATATTGCTGTGGCTTCTGATTGAAAAACAAATTATTTATCCAGTGAGAACCAGGCGCGCAACTATGGAGGGGCATGGGGGCCCCCTAGCCTGAATAAAGGGGGGGGGGGCAAGAAGTCTTTTATAGGGGGTCAATATTCCTTATTTAGTTTCAAAAATAGCTAGTTTTCTCGAAAATTTGTAAAAACTATGCCACCACAGTAATTTTTTCTTAAACCTACACTCCTTAAGCAAACTCAAATTCAACTATAACATTTTACAATATAAACTCAGATTCTTCAATTTTCCCCTTTTCTTAGAAAAAAACCCCAAATTCGGATTTTTAAAATTACATTCACACATTCTTATTCAAATTGCCTCACCAGACTTAAATTTGCCCCTTTATTCAACATTTGTAACCCTTGATTTTTTTAAATAAGCCACCAATTATTTTTAAATTCATTTTTTTTATCTCCTAATGTTTTATAAATACAACCAACTTTAGAATTTACAGCCCTTGTTAAAAAAAGCCCCTTATTTTATTTAGAGAATGCAAAAAAATAACCCTTAGTTTTAAAAAAGCACCTTTATATAATTTTAAAATAATAAGGAAAATTTGACCCCAAAATAAAGATTTAATATTTCCCACACACAAAATTTACCAAACTGAAAAAAGTCCCTAAAATAAAATTTGCCCCAAAACCAAAGATTTAAGATTTCCCCAAACTTGCCCCAAACTGAATTAAATGTCCCAAAATATAAAAATTTTCCCCAAAAATATCCTGAATTGGTAAGCTAGTTTTTTTCATGGTTGAGTATAATACACATTTTGCTTGTCCCCCTCCCCTATAAATGTTTAGGGCCGGGGCCAAACGTTTCTTCGAGCTACGCGCAAGATAACTGCTCTTTGCCCCCCCCCTAACTTAATGTATAGTTACGCGACTGGTGAGAACGCCATTGATATTTTGCGGGCAAAATAAACTTCTCATAGAGCCAACATTTTAATGGTTTCAATGAATTCGTTAATCTACTACATAGTTTAACAATTTTTCAGTTTGGGTCTTCTTTTGACTTACCCATTAATTTGAACTGTCTAAACCAGCACTTCAATTGCTCTAGGTTTAGATTGAACAAATCTGGATATAATGTAAAAGTTATAATTCTTAAAGGGAGTGTTAAGGTAAAATGAAAGGGGGTATAGGCTAAAGCCTAGGAATTTTAGGACTTGATCGTAACAAATATTCAATAATAGTTCTGTCTGGTGTCCCTGTCTCGAGAAATTGATATAAAACTGTGTCCGAGTTATACAAAAACTCAAATTTACTTGGCATGGTATTTGAACAGGGAATAGGAATAAAGGGAAGGGAAATAGCGCTGGTCTGGAATGAGAAAGCCAGTCGCACTACTTTGCAGACGAGTTCGGTATCACACACGCACATTCTTTTGGTACAGACACACAACATGACTACAGTCAAGGAAATTGCATAACAATGTCGTCAATTTTAATTAAGCTTTAATAACGAGTATTTTATTGTAAACTTTAATCAAATTATATTCTTTGCATGAAAATTTCGCTTATAGTGTTGACTTAAATATGTAAATAATATACTACATGTGTATAAAACTTATTTTTAAGTAAACATTTTCAATAAACAAATGTACTCTCCTAAACCGAGATTCATATGTACTGTATATACCTACAGCACACACCTTCGATTCGGTATTCCTTACACACACTCTTTTTGTACAGACACACACACATCACGTTTCCACCCCCTGTATTTGAATCAAAGTTCAAACAGATAATATTTAGCAAATACGGAACGAATCTGAAAATTACGAAAACCCAAAGATGCCTATCAAAATTTAAATGTTATTGTTTTTCATTTTTAGGTTTCTTTTTATCATGCGATGGATTTTTTAGTGCAACTTTTTAGCCGCTAGATGTTTCTTTTCTCAATATTTCAGAGATTCCATTTTGGAGAGACACCTAGCGGCCAAAAAATCTTTTAAAAAAGTAAATTTCTAGACTTTATCCTACACCCCCTTTCATTTACCTAAAATGAAACTTGTATTTAAACCGTTTTTGTCAGGTTTGAAAAAAAATTATTAAGTTTTATGCCTAGAGTTATCTTTTCCCCCGACTCTGCTGGGAGCAGGAATACAAACCTAAACAAATAAATATTAAAAGGGAGTATTTCTGAAAAGGTTATATATTGAGGATGTGCTCATTCTAATCGGTTTGTTGATAATTACTTAAATCAATTTAAGAAACGAAGTAAAAAATTAGAGTGCTAGGGAAAAAAACAAATGGGGGGGGGAGGGTTAAGTTAAATTATTAACTTACAATGCTAAAATATTGATGAGAACTACAGGTTGTATATAATTAAACAAGAAGAAGGTTGGTCGTCTCCAGATTACAATATAAAATCTAAAAAAAAAGTATTTTATTTAAAGTAATTCTCAGCTATAGCATTTCTTTCTTTACAAATACTTCACAGAAACAGCGATAAGGCCTTCATATAGGCACGCTGTGGCATTGACAGACCAAGGTTATAATGCAAGGAAAGTTATTTCAGAGGTGTACGCATCTTTTATATTGCAGTGTACTATGTCTGGGGAGTCTGGGTGGTAATGTAAACACAAGAGGGATGTCGAAGCCTGACATGGGATCCATCTTTCACATAAAAAATCAATAAAATATTCTGGTCATAGGAAACTATTATGTAAATTATTAAATTATCAAAATGTAATGCTTTTAACCTCCTCAGATACTAAACGAACACTGATGCATCTATTCTTGTTTACAATGTCCGCCCAGAGAGAACTGATTTCAATTTGTGCGCAGAGTATACGAAACTGCAATTAACTTTCCTTGCATTATAACCTTGGTTTTTACTAGATTAAAGTATAGTTTATTCAAAAATGAGATTAAATGTAGTTTAAATATAGCAGAATTTAAAAGCTTTTTATGAAAACACGACACTTACATAATTAAATGTTGTATTATTTACACAGCAGCTAGATATCGGCTTCAACTGTTCACAATTAAAGCTTCATTTATGAAAATATGCGTCAATAATAAATATTTTTAAAAGGAAATGAGTCTTTGACACAAACATTTTCTAATCATTATATATTTGCTACCTGATGGTGGAAACCTTTGATATTTCTCAAACTTAGATTATTAATTGATCTAACAGAATTTTTAGTTTGAAATGCGTTGCAAAGGATAATCAGAATTTGTGGCAAAGACTCAATTCCTTTTGAGCTTTTAAAAATTTGGCTGTCCTTGTGAGAACTTTTTTCCCTTTTACTTACGTAACATCACTGAAGGTTCTTTCACAACAAGGATCTGGCATCTTGTTCCCCCTTGCAAATATCTTCTTCAGTTCAAAAACGTCTAGAAAACGGTCAAAACGCTCTTTAAAACAGTCAAAAACGTGCATTAAACGGCCAGTGAATTTCATCTTTTGAAATCAAATTTCTTTAAAAAGACTATTAAGTTTTTTTTGGGGTGGTGGGGGTTTGAATTATGGAGATATTTAAATAGTCCAATTATTTAAGCTTAATTATCAAAAACGGTTTAGGCCATTCAAGACTTTTTCATCACCATTCACAATAACTTTATGAATTGAAAAAATAACCATTTTTGCTTTAAAAAGAATCTTAAGAATAATTTGGAATAAAAGTAAAAAATATGTATTCAAAAATGAGAAAAGCCTATTAACTATCAACTATAAATATTTACCTATCAAATATCAACTATCAACTATCGATCATCAAGTATCAACTCAATTATTAACTATCGACTATCAACTATCAACTATCAACCATTAACTATCGACTATCAACAGTATACCTGATGGTGAATACATGGCTAGTATTGTCTCGCGTTCAACTTTAGTCATCGTTATGTTCATCTACAAAAATTTTAACACAATAATTTTGTTCATGAAAATCATCATTATTTTGTATAAAAAGGGGGCAATTGTAATTGGTCAATCTTATTAAAGAAAGAGGGTTCGTAATTTATCAATAAGAATTTTCAAATGTTTAAAACTAAAATCTTAAAATTTTTTCAATAACAATATGATATATATCTTTAACCTTATTTCTACTAACGATACGTCCTAGCCCTAGTGTAAAAGAGGGGGGGGGTCCCAGAACTCAAGGCCCCGGCCCCCACCCTCTTTTTCCTTATTGTTACACAAATCTATGTCATTTCGTATATTTTGGAAAGCCCCTGGGGTCTTTATTATATATGCAAAAAAATAGTGAATTTGAAGAAAACAACCATATTTTTAGAAAAAAATGTGCATGAACAAAAATTGGACAAAATATTAAACATTATACATTTTTGGAATTATCAAAATATATTTGTGTATTAAATAAAAACTAGGAATGTGCACAAACACTATGCAAAATGATTTGACAAAACTTGTGCATAGCCCAGCTTTTACCCTAAAGTGGGGGACTAGTGATGGTTAAAATTAATTTGAAAAAGCTTCAGACCAAAAATTGTTCATGCAGTTATTTCCAAAAACATTAGATAGGAAAAGGGCTAAGACAATTGCGAAGGAAAAAAAACAATTTAACAATAAGTATCTAAATACCCTGTGTTTCAGCGCTCTGAGTCCAAACTTTAGTTAAAATGTGATTAAAAGTACAAGAAGTGCAAGAAGTGAAGGAAGTGCAAAAAGTAAAAAAATTGCAAGAAGTGCAAGAAGTGTAAGAAGTGCAAGAGGTGTAGGAAGTACAAGAAGTACAAGAAGGGCAAGAAGTGCATGAAATGCAAGAAGTGCAATAAGTGCAATAAGTACAAAAAGTGCAAGAAGTGCAAGCAGTGCAAGAAGTGCAAGAAGTGCAAAAAGTGCAAAAAGTGCAAGAAGTGCAAGAAGTGTAAGAAGCGAAAGAAGTGCAAAAAGTGCAAAAAGTGCAAGAAGTGCAAGAAGTCCAAGAAGTGCAAGAAGAGTAAGAAGCGAAAGAAGTGCAAGAAGTGCAAAAAGTGCAAGAAGTACAATAAGTGCAATAAGTGCAATAAGTGCAATAAGTACAAGAAGTGCAAGAAGTGCAAGCAGTGCAAGAAGTGCAATAAGTGCAATAAGTGCAATAAGTGCAAGAAGTACAAGAAGTGCAAGAAGTGCAAGAAGTGTAAAAAGCAAAAGAAGTGCAAGAAGTGCAAGAAGTGCAAGAAGTGCAAAAAGTGCAAAAGTGCAAAAAGTGCAAAAAGTGCAAAAAGTGCAAGAAGTGCAAGAAGTGCGAGATGTGCAAGAAGTGCAAGAAGTGCAAGAAGTGCAAGAAGTGCAAGAAGTGTAAGAAGCGAAAGAAGTGCAAGAAGTGCAAGAACCTTAGCCAAGTAGCGAAAATGACAAATACAAGAGAAGGAGGAAAGAAATATAAAGATATCTCAGAGAGGAATGTTTCACCGTTGTAAATCTAACATGTATTTCTTTTATTAAAGGATCACTTCAAATTACATTAACAGTCCCTTTAAATGACATGTTTAACTGACCCTTGATATATCTCTGGACCACGAGGCGAACTTGAGCTCACACTGCTGCGCGTCAAACGGATAATATGTTACATCTAGCGCGCATTTGCTCATATAAATAGATTGGGTCGCGAGCAGAACATGCCCTGTATTCCAAACCTGAAAGAATATTTAAATATCAATGTATATAAACACAGTTGAAATCTATTTTTGTTTGTCCGATCATAACTCAGGAACCCCTGGACCTACTTGCGTCAAATTTTGATTGGGGAACTCGGGAGAGTCTCGGAAATGTTCTTAGCTTTGAGATCTAAGTTGAGTGGGTCCACTTTTAACTGGAAAAATGGCTAAAATCGTTATTTGCGATAAATCAACGGGACTATAACTATGACTTCCCTGGGCATCAATGGGTTCCCAAGCTAGTTAGTTTATTATAAAAATGGATGTTTCTAGAAAATATGAGCCGAAACTGTAGTTTATTTGAGTTATGGTTTGTCAATTAATTTTTGAAGTTCCGTAAATAAGAGTCGACAGTGCCTTAACTTGTATAAATAAGAGTCAACGCGGTCCCATCTTGAAAAATTCAGAGTCGACAGACCCTTTAAGTTCCGTAAATAAGTGTCGACAGTGGTTTTAAGTTCTGTAAATAAGAGTCGACAGTCCCTTTAAGTTCCGTAAATTAGAGTCGACAGTCCCATTACGTTCCGTAAATAAGAGTCGACAGTCCCTTTAACTTCCGTAAATTAGAATCGACAGTCCCTTTAAGTTCCGTAAATAAGAGTCAACAGTCCCTAATTAAGTTCCGTAAATTAGAGTCGACAGTCCCTTTAACTTCCGTAAATTAGAGTCGACAGTCCCTTTAAGTTCCGTAAATTAGAGTCGTCAGTCCCTTTAAGTTCCGTAAATAAGTGTAAACAGTCCCTTTAAGTTCCGTAAATTAGAGTCGACAGTCCCTTTACGTTCCGTAAATTAGAGTCGACAGTCCCTTTAACTTCCGTTAATAATAGTCGACAGTCCCTTTACGTTCCGTAAATTATAGTCGACAGTCCCTTTAAGTTCCGTAAATAAGAGTCAACAGTCCCTTTAAGTTCCGTAAATTAGAGTCGACAGTCCCTTTAAGTTCCGTAAATAAGAGTCAACAGTCCCTTTAAGTTCCGTAAATTAGAGTCGACAGTCCCTTTAAGTTCCGTAAATAAGAGTCAACAGTCCCTTTAAGTTCCGTAAATTAGAGTCGACAGTCCCTTTAAGGTCCGTAAATTACAGTCGACAGTCCCTTTAAGTTCCGTAAATAAGAGTCAGACAGTCCCTTTAAGGTCCGTAAATTACAGTCGACAGTCCCTTTAAGTTCCGTAAATAAGAGTCGACAGTCCCATTAAGTTCCGTAAATTACAGTTGACAGTCCCTTTAAGTTCCGTAAAAAAGTCCCTTTAACTTACATGAATAAGAGTTCGTAGCTCCCGACCTTGTTCTCCATCTCCTGCACTATTGTACAGAACTATATCAGGCGACCAAACCTTAAACAAATTATTTTTAAAAACCTTCCCATTTTCCTAGGATTTGGAAAACTAGTTCTTAAACGCTTCGGAAAATTAGTGTAACAGACAATCACATTACTGTTAAGTTTAGGAATCGAAAAAAATATTAATTTTCTTTGTTTTATTCATTTTCAATAAAAAAACTGAATTGTTAACGAAAGTTAGCGTAATCCCATACTTACCTTACAATTTTTTTCGGAAATAAAGTTCTAAATTTTGGCACTTAAAAAAGTTCATTATGATACTTTTTTCTAGGACTTTTTTCTGGTTTCAGTATTGCCTGTTGTACTCAGTACACTGAACCTCTATAAATATGTACTCTGTGTGCAATAAATCTATGTAATTTTATTAAACTTTTCTATTTTTCTTGGAATCTTGGAATCGAGGTTTCGTGAGATGATTTGGCTAAGAGTCTATAGTTGTCTATGATACGTATATTATTGTTCGGGATTGGGATAAATATTTTCAAAACATTTTATTAGTCAACGTAACTTTGTCCAATCCTACCTTTTCCCAAGGAAGCCAGGTTTCAGTAATGTTGTCATAATCTAAAAAATTTTATATCATAATTTTTTCTTTAAAAAAAGTATTTCAAGAAAATAGAGAAAAAAACATGTTTAAAACATTCCTTCTGGATCCCACATGAGAAAAGCATCATGCCATCTTGTGATTATTTCACAACTTGTTGTCAGTGTCTGATCTCTCTCATTCTAAAAAAACAACATAAGATTTTACTGTAAAATAGTATAACACTCTGTGCTATAGATCGACTCAAATAATTGAGCGCGTGATTGAGCCTGCACACATGAGACCAATTGTTGCATGATCCAATTCAGTACAAGAATACCGGTCTTGAAGTACAAGGATACCCGTCTTGTAGTACAAGGATACCAGTCTTGTAGTACAAAGATACCAGTCTTTTAGTACAAGGATGCCCGTCTTGTAATACAAGGATACCCGTCTTGTAGTACAAGGATACCCGTCTTGTAGTACATGGATACCCGTCTTTTAGTACAAGGATGCCCGTCTTGTAGTACAAGGATACCCGTCTTGTAGTACAAGGATACCCGTCTTGTAGTACAAGGATACCCGTCTTGTAGTACAAGGATACCCGTCTTGGAGTACAAGGATACCCGTCTTGTAGTACTAGGATACCCGTCTTGTAGTACAAGGATACCTGTCTTGAAGTACAAGGATACCCGTCTTGTAGTACAAGGATTCCCGTCTTGTGTCTGCAACTCGCACCAAGGCGTCACTATAGTGTACCCAGAGCCAAAAACTTAAGACAGAGTATTTTGAAATAACCCATGGTATTGGCAACCCGGTCTTATAAATATAGGGTCAAGCAGTTTTGTAGATACCAATATTATTGTTAAATAAAATTATTTTATTTGGTTTCTTTCCTTTTTTTTTTCTTATTTCTGACATTTAAATCTACACAACCTCATAGACCCCGGAAAGGAAATTTATGAGTTTAATTCAACAATACTCTCTTAAATATCCGACTCAGTATGTACTTGACCCACCTGTCAAGTACACGCAGTCAGCTGGTTCGACTTGGAGCTCAGTGAATAAATTCATGTATTTTTAGGGCTTACAATAGTTTAGTTTGAAGAAAAAAAAACAATTTTTATGAAATTTTATTAACGACAACAAATAATGCATAACATCATTTTTATTGTTAGCTGATTTATTAATATTTTGTAAGAATAAGCAGTCTGAAAAATTAACACATGAATTGAACACTGAAAACTAAAATATCGGAGGTTTACCTGGTTGCAAAGATGGATTACAAAATTAGAGTTTACGGTATCTGTTTAGTTCCTTTATTAATACTTTATAAATCCTTTTCTTGCAGTTTTTAAGTCTTCAAATCAATGAAAAAAAAATTCTAAATCAGTTCAGATCTTATCTATAGAATTTCATTACTTGTCCGTCTGTATTGGTGTTTGTTTGTTTGTCTGTCTGTCCGTTTGAATCCAAATAAACGTCAAAACAGCTAAACCGATCAGGCCCGATTTTTGTGGTACCTTGCGCGCGTTGTTACCTCAGGGAAGGTTTATGCATAATCGAATCTTTAAAAATTTGCCTCTAACAAAATTCGATTTTTGAAAATTTGAAAAATCCACGTATTTTTTGTTTTGTTTTACAATGTACACAAAGAAAACATGTTCACAATTAAAATAAAAGATGGGCGCGAAGCGTCCTGAAAGCCTAATGCTTTCAAAGCAAAATCTTACCATGTCAACAATATGATATAGAGCCAGCTGAATACTCACGTTTACAATATCCATTGCATCCACAACTAGAACATATTGTTAGGGTCAACAACAACAACAACAACAACAACAACAACAACAACAACAACAAAAGAGAATATTTATACCAAAACACAAGAATATTTCTTTAAGAGGAAAACTGTTGATTTTTTTTAAAGAAATAATATCAGGTGACTAGAATAAAACCAATGAAAAAATTGTAGCATATTAATCTTCTTGAAAAAAATATAGTTCACTCATATCTTAATTGTCTGAGAGATTGTCCAGAGCTGGGAACTATTGTATTTTGAGTTTCGAAGTTTCATCCTCAAATTGTAAGTGCACACAGTGGATATTGAGATCAAGCTATCGAGATTATGAGTACCCAGCTCTGGCTACAAAATAACGAGAAGTTTTTCAAAGAGTAACGGATGTGTGACCCAGTAATTAGGACTAGAGTGCGACATTTTTAAAAGTTCTAAAACCCTAGTCTTTGAAAATTTTGGTCAGTCCCTGATTTTCTTTGTCAATTTAAGAAAGAATTTGTAATACTGCAAGGAGAATTAGTAAAAGATAAAATTAAATCAAACCATGAGTACCAAACACAAAAATTCTCATGAAATGTTTTAAAAGGATATTACTATGGATACCCAATACAACTATTTATACCTGGTAGGATATTATAGCCAGTAGGATATCCATTAAGTAGATCTGTGGACAGCTAAAATTATTATGCAATATATTTAATATTTAATCTATATATAAATTTGGCTTGTCTTGGTGTTTGTTTGTTTGTTTGTCTGTCTGTTTGTATCCAATAAACGTCAAAACGGCTGAACCGATTGGGCCCAATTTTTTTTATGTGACATTACGTGACCACAGGGAAGGTTTATGAATGATCAAAATTTCAAATATTTTTCTCCATCAAAATTCGATCTTCATTAAATTTTTGAAAATTTTGAAAATCCACGAAATTTTTTGTGAAAATCCGCGAATTATTTTTGTTTTGTTTTACGATGTACACAAAGAGAACATGCTCACAATTAATTTAGAAGATGGGCGCAAAGCGCCCTCTAAGGCTAGTATTTAATATTTAATTTTATTTTAGAATTTGGTTCAGCATTTCGAAACTTTTAAAGCGATTAAATGATAACAATTTAAACAATTTAAAAATCTTAAAACTTTATCAAAGCCAGAAATTTTTAAGAACAAATAAATTTTCATACTTCCACTTTACAAAAATGCATTGAATAAAGTTCATTTCACTATAGTTTTAGTAAAAGAAAATATTTCCATTTACTGATAGCGCCGATGGAGGGATTCATAACTCTAATTGGATAATGAGCTAGATAGAAAGATAAATATTACTGCCATACTATTTCTATTGGTTCAGAATAGACAACCAACACATGACTAAACCCTGATTGGATAAGGCTCTAACGGACTCGACATACAGGACTGGAAAGATGGGGATTAAAATTTACCCTGTAGTCAGCTGTTTTTATTTCACGTCTGTAACTACTGAGTTTCTTGTTTGGTCTTTCAGTTCCTAAACATTGCAGATATACAGTGATAACCAGAAAACTATGGAATAGGAATTCGACTATTAGACTCTATTTATGACTTTAAATAGTACAACGAATAAGAGGAACGGCAATTGTGCAGTGTAAACAGACTAATGTTTCACCTAATAAGTGATTTGATGACATTCTGTAAAGCTATTTGCCTTTTAACAGCATCAAATTAACTTCAGATTGCTTTAATGTCGTCTCCCTATTCAATAGTATTCCGGTTATAACTGAATTACTTTAGGTTCCTATATATAGCAGATATATTACTTTCAGTTCCTATATATAGCAGATATATTACTTTCAGTTCCTATATATAGCAGATATATCACTTTCAGTTCCTATATATAGCAGATATATTACTTTCAGTTCCTATATATAGCAGATATATTACTTTCAGTTCCTTTATATAACAGATATATTCCTGTCAGTTTCTAGATATAGCACATATATTACTTTCAGTTCCTATATATAGCAGATATATTACTTTCAGTTCCTTTATATAACAGATATATTACTTTCAGTTTCTATATAGCAGATATATTATTTTCAGTTCCTATATATATAGCAGTTATATTACTTTAAATTCCTATATATACCCGATATATTACTTTCAGTTCCTTTATATAACAGATATATTCCTGTCAGTTTCTAGATATAGCACATATATTACTTTCAGTTCCTATATATAGCAGATATATTACTTTCAGTTCCTTTATATAGCAGATATATTACTTTCAGTTTCTAGATAAAGGAGATATATTACTTTCAGTTCCTACATTTAGTAGATATATTACTTTCTGTTTCTAGATATAGCAGCGATATTACTTTCAGTTCCTATATATAAATAGCAGATATATTACTTTCAGTTCCTTTATATACCCGATATATTACTTTAAGTTCCTTTATATAGTAGATATATTACTTTCAGTTTCTATACATAGCAGATATATTACTTTCAGTTCCTATATATAGCAGATATATTACTTTCAGTTTCTATATATAGCACATATATTTCTTTCAGTTTCTATACATAGCAGATATATTACTTTCAGTTTCTATATATAGCAAAGTTGGACAAAGGGCATGTATCAAACTCCCCTATCTCAACACTAAGGGCAAAATCATAGTGGGGTGTCTGGAAAACACCCCCCCCCCCAAACTTTAGCAAACAAAAATAATCCAACCGTTAAAGACCCAATCTAAAGTTCCGATGGTTTAACTCGACTAAAAAAAACAAAGTTATTAACCTGCAGGGTTACAAACTTGAAGAAGAAAAGAGAATAATGTGAGAATTCTCATTCTTGATATTTATAGAACTGATAATATTTCAACCCAATATCATATCCAGATCTTACAGGGAGGATGTAAATAATGTACACTGTGCAAACTCCGAGATAATTGAAATATAGAAATATATAAATATATGTCTAAGGCTAAAAGCTTCATAATTTAAAAATTAAGCCAAAAAAGTGCATCAAAAATATAGATTTTCCTAATTAAAATAATACTGTTTGTGCGTGACACCCTGTATTTAGTTACAGATGAAGAAAGATGTTTATTTAAGGAGATTAGCAATAAAAGATAAGAATCTTAAAGGGACTGTAAGCGTAATTTCTAGTGACCTTCAATGTTAAGATGGTAAATTCACAACGGTACTCAATAACCCTTCATCTAATCTAAAATGTGATAGAATTGTCGTTGTATACATGTATACATGTATACATGTATATATAATATGTATATGTATTTGTATACAGACCTCACTGAAGATTGGTCCATGACAATTGATCCATGAAACATTGTGTTTGCGGATGTTTATCTGTTTTTTGATTGAACAATAAATATTGGTAAATTTTCGTGTTCTAAATCATCCAATTTTTAATTCGTGGGCGATTGCGCTAATTTCTAAAAAAGGAAAAATCGATTATTCCTTTTCCGTCTCTGGGTCGTTGAACGAAGTCAAACCTTATAGAAATCCAACGTATAGAAACTGCTACGTAAAGCAACAAGGCGTATTTTCCGGGAGAACATTTTTTATATCTTTGAGAAATTAAACGTTTTTGTAAAACATTGTAGCTTATCATTATCATTATCATAATTTCTATTTTTTTTAACATACTCTAGACATTAAAGGATCAAAATAGTTCAATACGTACATTTGTACTGCTATAAATTGTGTTTAAGGTCCCCCAGATTTTATTATGTACTGACAACATAAATGAATGATTATATGGTTAAACATAAAAATGCGTGTTACTATTAAAAAAGATATTTTGTAAAAATGCTATCTACAGTTTTATTTTTAGAAAAAAAATTCTTAAAAGTATAAAAAAAGTTCTCCAGTAATGCTAATATGATTTCATAAAATTCCGTTTTACCATTTAAATAAAAGGATTTTATGAAAACTATATCTATTTTACACTGATTATTTAATTTCTCAAAAATATAAAAAGTATTCTCCCGGAAAATACGCCTCGTTGCTATACGTACCGGTTTCTATACGTTGGATTTCTATAAGGTTTGACGCCCCGTTGAACTACCCTCCGCCGATTCAAATACAAATCAAGAATCACCGATTCAAGACACATAGTTGAACCGTGCTTAGATCTAAGTCTGGTTCCTGTATATCTATATCGTTGATAAAATTTTCATCATCGGATTAATTTAGAGAAACTCACTTAAACCATACTTGAATATTTCCTTTTCTGTACTTTCTGAACTTTTAAAATACACGGATTCCTGTCCTGTTCTAAGTTACATGTTAAGTTAAAAAATGTTTTCTTATCTTTAGACTTCGGAGATACAAAATGGAGGCACGGCAACTACAGGGTGTCCCAGGAAACATGAAATAATTATACCTTTTTTTAACGAAATGAACTGTAAAAGTATTTAATATACAAAAGAGTATTTAAAGAAGCAATTTTTTCACCAACTATCATTTAGATAATTATCTCTCATTATCTACACGTCTTTAAAGTACATTTATCTTTATATTCTATTCTGAAGAATAAGCAGATTATTATAATATCTACGGTTTTTTTCATATTGATAATTATGAATTCAGATATTAAGTAACCTTTTATTTTAATGTATGCTTATTAACTGTTTATGCAACAAAACTGCGTTATTAAATGACATTAAAGATAAGGAGTTTATTTACTAATAGAGTACAAGTGTTTTATGATAAATATTTGTTAAAATGATTATTTTATCTCAGTTTTTCTCTGTCTGGAAGGTTACAGGCATAGGCGTTAAGTTTTTGAAGTGTAGACCAAAAAGTTTAAAAATAAATTATGAAAACATTGTTTAAAACAGTGCAAAACTGAAAAAAAAATAACAAAACTGCAAATTTTCGTTGTACCCTATCCATTAAACTAATCAAATGCGTTTGAAATTGATTTTCGGATAATTAAGAAAAGAACCGATATAGTTTTCATTTTAAGTAAAACCGCTAAATTGTTTAATAATACAAATAATATTTATCTATATATAAATTTGGCTTGTCTGTCTGTTTGTCTGTTTGTTTGTGGCTGAACCGATCGGGCCCAAATTTTTTTGTGGGACCTCACGTGACCTCAGGGAAGGTTTATGATTGATAAAATTTAAAAAAAACGTTTTATAAAGGTTTTTAATTTTATAAAAAAATTTAAATTCTTGGAAATCCGCGATTTTTTTTTTAAATCCGCTAAATTTTTGTCTTCTTTGTTTTTAAATGTAAACAAAAAGAACATATGTTCACAATTTAAATAGAAGATATATTACATGTAGCGAAGCGCCCTACAAGCCTAGTATATATATATTAGAAGACTGGCGAATCTGAACAATTCAAGAAAATTGACAAAACTCATAAAATGAATCCACAGTATATGACCTTCTGAGTACAAAAAAGTAGTTCCAAGGAATAAAACAAGAACTGTCAAAAAATATAGTATACTGAGCTAAAAACTTCAGAATGAGATATCACGATCGCTTAGTCTGATTATCTGTACTTTTGATTTTCTTCTTATAATCCTCATTTTGTATATTTCTACTCATAAAAGTTACGTTTGATATTAATTACAGATATTAGACTAATATTCGATGCGTTTAGAGCATTTTAACAAATATAAATTTAATCATGTTAATATATGCAGACATTTAAAAAAAAACATATTTTAGGACTATTTTAATTTTAAACTTTAGTCTTGATAAACATTAATCCAATGTTTATCAACGTTTAATCGATGTTTAGTTCAATTGATATGACACCATCAACTCAACACCAGAATTCAAAACCGGTTTTTTAAAAGCTTAAGAGTACATCTTAACAAGACAAGCTGATTGATTACATTTTTAACTTCTTTCTTGGATATCAAATGCGTTATAAAATAATCTTGGGTTTATTAAAACGAGGAGTTTAAGCATTAATCTTGATATCCACCACTCTAAAGTTCTAGTTCTAGTGTTGTCCTTAAACGTCACAGCTAAATCTAAATAACCCCTTTCTCACTCATTAGCTCACTCATTATAACCCTTCTAAACCAATCCAGTCTCAACCTTTGTGGATAACCCTGTATATTGTTTAAACACAGGTAGTGTTTACATAATTATCTGGACGTACAGACACAGAACCTCCCTAGTAACTAACTGGCCCTTGGATATTATGTTAGATCCCAGTCTTCAGGGATTCAGGGATTGTAGGGGTTCCATGCCCCGGAGATCTAGTTAGTCATCTTTCAAGTGATTCAACGCCTTAGCCTTTGGTTTTATCTCACCAATTCACTTATACTTTTTTGGTAGCCTTAGACATATACATTTTAAAACTGCAAAGCGCTTGTTTTTAGCATAAATATAAAGGAGTATTACTGCTCGAGTTTTGCGTAAGAGCGTGCACACATCATGGTTTATAGCGATGCGCTCAAACTTTTATTTAATTTCAGGAAGGTTTTATCAATTTGTAATATAAATAATTGCCTTAAATGATTAAAAAACAATATGTTTAAAGGTTAAATTTCAAGAATACGTTGACTTTGAAGTGTCGCAACGACTTGGGAGGTTGGTGTTACCTAACCAACTTGCTTATACTTTTTGTAGCCTTGAACATGTACATTTTAAAATTGTAATTGGCTTTTTTCTATAAGCCTTAGTTTAGAAGGATTATTTTTGAAAAATCCTGTTAAAACTGTGACAGACTACAGTACCATTTCACTTATTTAGTTATCCGCAGATACTCGTAAAATACTTGCTTTCTAACAGTATTGGATTACATAGCATTGCATAAAATTCGTCTTTCTATTCCACAATTAAAGAAGAAATGTAAAATGAATACATATTTGAATTATATTTAATGATTGTGAAACTAGACAAAAATGTCGGGGTTCCACACATTGGAGTCCAACAGTTCAGTCCATGCTAATGAGACTGGACTGACAGCAACTCATGTTCTGAAGGTAAGATATATATTTTGTGAATGTTGGTCAAATATTTTTTTACAAAGAGTTATAAATAAAGTAATTGAGTTTTTTCCACAAATTCTAATTTTTAAATTCCTATATCTCTGCAATATGATGGTGTAAAACTGTGATATTTCAAACTTAGATTTTTTATCAAAAATAATTCATATATTTAAAAATCTATGGTCTACGACATCGAGTTGCAAAGATATAGGGATTAGTACATTTGAGTTTGTGGCAAAGATTCAAATCTTTTGAATTATTTTTAAATAATTTACTTTGAGATAATTAATTAAGCCTACAGGTCACCAATCAGTAAATTATGGAAAACATATTTTATTAAATTTTAGATTATGGGACGTATGCTTTATATTATGGACCCTAAGGAGAATGCATTCAAGGATATGGATAGTATTCCGGAACAGACCTATATTCAGCAAGTAATGGTTTATGATTATTTTATTATTTGTTGGGTGATTAAGTGACTTTATCGCCCTACAACAGGGCGAAAAAGAAAATTTTTCACAACTATTTCTATATTTCAGACTCTTCCCTACTTCTTCACAATGATAATACTTGAATGGATTGTACTTATACTCAAGGTAAAACATGAAATTAATATTTTAGAGGAACTCTGAGTGTAATTTTAAGTGACCTTCCATGCAAAGATTCCAATGCTCGATTTGCAACAGTACTCTTGAAACATTAGACGGATAAGAAATTTAGAAGATACTCTCGTTTTTCTGACTCGACTCCAGGGCTTCTTAAAACAAAGAATGCATAAGTTGAATTCGAAAAGAAACCGCAAAAGAAAATAAACAGTTTAAAGAAACAAAATCAATGATATCTCATTCATACTTGATCGGACAATGCTTTCAAGGGTACCGTTGTAAATCGGACGTTGCCATCTTTGCATTGAGCTAGGGTGACTTAAGATTACGCTTACTGCCCCTTTTTGTAATTTGGCCGAAGTCGAACACCCATAGTTGCGAAATTGCGATAAGATAAATTATACGGATTTGAACTCATTTGAAGTTCTATATGAGATTGTGTACTGAATTAAAAATAAGTGGAATACCCACATTTTTGGAACAAGGAACATATTTCCTATCGCACGGAACTGTTTCAGAGTGAGAAACGATTTAATACAGTGAATCCCATAAAACTGTGGGATAGGGAGTTAAGATTTAAACAAGTGTATGTGATTACGTTATTATAATGCAAATAAAGTAATTGAGCCTTTGCCTCAGACTCTGATTTTATAATCCCCATATCTTTGCCACCCAATGTCGTGGAACTCAAATATTTCAAATTATGAACTCTGTTAGATCAAAAATATAAGTTTTAAATTTCAAAGGTTTGTAACAATCATATTGCAAAGATACATGGACCAGAAAATTTGAGTTTGACTGAATTCCTTTACTAGTGGCTTGGGGTCTGTGTGCGACGAAGACTGCCTAAATTCAGTTTGTCATGTCCTAAGATTAGTCTAAATGGTTTTAAAAGATTAATTTTTCAGAACAGTCCAAGGTACGGAAATCATAAAAAAAATTGGCAAAAACTAATAAAAAAGGTTAAATGAGTATCTCTAATTCGCAAGATTGGCTGGGTTGTGTTCTTAAGTCCAAAATATCAGGATAATGTGTTTATTTCTAAAAGGCTGCACACTGAACTAGATGAAGGATAATGTCAAGTTCAAGATGCATTACTGGCACAGGACTTTGTGACCTGTAAGCTCAGCTAGGAAAGGAATTGAGTCTGTGTCACAAACTCTGCTTTTCTAAATCCTTTATCTTTGGATTCCAATGTCGTAGACCTTAGATATTTCAAACTATGAATTCTTTTAGATCAAATAATATAAGTTTGAAATATCAAAGTTTTACAACATTGGATTCCAAAGATATTGGGATTATTAGATCAGAGTTTGTGGCAAAGACTCAATTCCTTTATCCAGTTATCTATACTTGTTATGTAGAAATTTAAAAAAATTTCATTCTTTTCAACAGCTCTTCAATAAAAGGAGTTGATATTGAAGACCATACACGATTTTAATTTAATGCATAATTTATGTTTGTTTGATGTGATGGATGAATTCCTATAAAAATATTATCTCTGTGAATGTCTAGGCTAAGACTCCCAGACTAAGTGACGGAGTGAGGATGAATAATTTCTATAAAAATATTATCTCTGTGAATTTCTAGGGTAAGACTCCCAGACTAAGTGACGGAATGATGAATGTTGCCCATGGTCTTATCATGTCACTTACAGAGTAAGTAATAAGTTTTGAAAATTACTTATTATTGATTAATATTTTGTACTTTTTGAACAGTAGTTATTAATTTTTCATATTATGTAAGTTTTAAGCAGTTAATATTATTTTTTTTCATATTTGTAAGTTTTAAAAATACTTGTTAACTCTTCATCTTGTTTAAGTTTTAAACATTAATTATCAGTTTTTTTTCTTCATGTTTGTAAGATTTGAATATTATTTACAATTTTCAAACAAGCTTAAATTTAAAATTACTTGTTCATTTTTCATATTTTGTAAGTTTTAAACATTACTTACCAGTTACCAATTATCATTTTTGTAAGTTTTGAAAATTACTTATTTTATTTTCATTTTATTTAAAAATTAATAATTATGATCAACAATATTATATTTAGCGTGTATATTTCCGGTTTTTTATTTATTGTGTTTACTTCTGGTTTTATATTTAGTATGTTTAATTCCGGTTTTATATTTAGTGTGTTTAATTCCGGTTTTATATTTAGTGTGTTTAATTCCGGTTTTATATTTGGTGTGTTTAATTCCGGTTTTATATTTGGTATGTTTAATTCCGGTTTTATATTTAGTGTGTTTAATTCCGGTTTTATATTTGGTGTGTTTAATTCCGGTTTTATATTTGGTATGTTTAATTTCGGTTTTTTATTTAGTGTGTTTAATTCCGGTTTTATATTTAGTATGTTTAATTCCGGTTTTATATTTAGTGTGTTAAATTCCGGTTTTATATTTAGTGTGTTTACTTTCGGTTTTATATTAAGAGTCTAACTTTTCATTCATAGAAACTTCCGTATTTAGTGTGTTTACTTCCGGTTTTCTATTCGGAGTCTACCTTTTCATTCATAGAAACTTCTGTATTTATGAACTGCCCTGGGATTCGACATTTACATGGGTGGGTAAATATATACTTTTTTATATATATAGTTATGGATATAAACATACAGTGATAACCAGTAAATATGGAATAGGAATACGACATTATAGCAATCCATAAGCGTTCTGATGTTACATAAGCAACTAACTTAGCAAAGCAATTAAAGTAAAAAAGGGTCTATTGTTTAAGTGCTATGTCTAATGTTCATTGAACTAGTTTAAGTCCTAACTTGAGATTAGAAGTCGGCTTCCTCTTTAAGAGTTTTCTGGTTATTACTGTATGATAATAACAATTTTAGCTCTTAACTGTTTATTTTCAAGCTGCCATTTTCTTTATACACCTTTAAGCACATTTTTTTTAGTGAACAGAAAATAACTTTAATTAGCAAAGGGATTGAGTCTTTGTTAGATCAAATAATCTCAGTTTGAACTATCAAAGATGTACCTTTCAGGTTGCAAAGATAGAGGGTTTAGAAAATTTGTGTTTGTGGCAAAGATTTCCCTTCTGACATTTTTTTAAGTCAAAATTCTTATTCTTAATTTTCCCAGTTTTAAACCCAATATTTTGCTTTTTTTAGATTGTTGCAGCAATAGGAGTTGATTTTGGATACTATTGGGTTCATAGAGCAGCTCATGGTTAGACCAGTTTTTTTTTTATTAATTGTCTTTCCAGCATTACAAATTGTTTTTTTTAATGATTAATTCGGGACGGACCAAAATTTTCTTAAACTGGGACAACCGTAACGCTTAGCCAAAGTTAAATACAATCTTCCTGGGAAATTCGGGAAAATAAGAATATTTCTTGAGATAGGTTTGATACATAATTAAAACACAAGCCATGGAAATAATGCTCATGAGGTGGATTTGATGAAAAGTAAATGTCATCTAGATTTTTAAATGCACTGTCGTCTCTTAGCGAACCCCCCTGCCCCCACCCCCTCCACTTAATTTGTGAAATCTATGGTTTTCAATGGGCGATAAGCCCTCCCTCCTTATAGAGATATAAAAATCACTAACTACGCCCTCGTCTGTCACTGTTCGTCACACTAAAAAGTAGTTCATCTTTCGGTATTTCGTTCAACTACTACTATAGCTATTCTTTAAGAACAAAATCGTGACGGATAGCGCTTAGTCTTACCGATAGATCTGGATAACAAATGTGTATAATCATAAATTAAAGAGTTTAGCGCCCTTAATCAGTGCAAGTTGTCCATCCCGTGGGCCCTGGTTGGCACACAATAAATAAAGTGGCATTTTTTAGTACTCAAGGATATTTTTTTAGAGATAAACTTGCTCTGGGCAGCTCATCAGGTTCACCATTCATCTGAGGACTATAACCTGTCCACAGCACTTAGACAGTCAGTGTTTCAAGCATTCGGCAGCTGGGTAAGCATTTAATTGATTTTTTAAGGGAGTGTTCGCGTAAAATGAAAGGGGGAATCACTACTAATCTGGCTTCTATCTGTTGCATCTATAAGGAGAAAATCATTAAAAAGGACTTGTACCGAAGAATGTAGCGTCCATACAAATTGAGAAAGTTGCACAAATTATTTAGATATTTAAACCTATAGTATCGATTATTTTTCGATGCATTCGTATAGTTAATATTTCATAGTATTTGTTTTATATGCCATGCACTTAAAACGACGTGTTTTTCCGCTTGGTGTCTCTGCCACGTGTAATCATTCAAAGCATAGAGAGCAGAGATACTTGACGGCCAACTATTTCGTCGTTTTAAGTGTTTGGCTTTAAATTGATTTTTTTCGATCCGAGTCGTATGTTGCAACTTTCTCAATTTGTATGGACGTTATGTTCTTCAGTATTAGTCGTTCTTAACAATTTTCTCATTTTCGATGCATAGATAGAAGTCAGATTAATAGCGATCAAAAGCGCTTATTTTTCGCTGTGAGCTTAAACCCCCTTTCATTTTTCGCGAACACTCCATTTAAGAGGCAGCTATTCTGACTTTCAATGCTACTCCTTAGTTTTCATAATTATTTATTTAAGAGGGTTTTTAGCGTAATTTCTGGTGACCTTAAATGTCTATAGTGAGACATTTTCGATTGTTAGCGGTACCCTTTTAAATTTACACCAACCATCGATGTCAGGATATCCCTAATTTTCCAGCTGACATGTTGGCGACGGAAAACATGGTTCTAGGTCCAGAATTCGCCGAGTAAATAAAGGAAAATTTCTGTCTTCAGCGATTACCAGTAATACAATTCCTAAGACACAAAAAAGTACAGTTAAATTGTTGCAGTGAGTTGAGCAAAGAAAGTTTAAAACTAAAAATAAAAGAGCATCGAGAGTACTAGAATGATGAACTCTTCTCACAATATTTTGGCTAAATTATCTTTAAATTTCAACCCACTTACAAAGAACATCTTACTACTTTTATCATTATTACAATTTCAATATACCAATTCATAAAAATAATTGTTCAGGAACTTGCTTTTATGATACAGATTTAGCACTTGAATAGAGCTGCAAACTTTTAAATGAACGGAAGAAATTAATCTTATTGGTTACATCAAATGAACCATCCCCTTCCAGGGAAATTCTTGTAAGAAGTGGTTAACTTTAGTGTACATCGATCAACTACTTCTTTCCATTAATTTTATCTATTATTTCTAAATGTGTTCTAAATTGTAGCCGTTCTATCTTCCCCTGGCTTTCTTTATACCTCCTCAACACGTTGTAGTTCATCACGAGTTTAATCTGCTATATCAGGTAAACCGTTAACTCTTTCTTTATACCTCCTCAAAACGTTGTATGTAGTTTATCATGAGTTTAATCTGCTATATCAGGTAAACCATTATCTCTTTCTCGGTGGGACTATTTTTGTGTAACATAGGGGGGGGGGGTTGGTGGATTTCACCTTCCCCATATGATCTTGTCCTGAGATAAGATAGGGGAGGTTGATACATGTCACTAGTCCATTTTTAAGGCCTACTTATTTTGAAAATGGTAGACACCTGTTTGATAATGTAAATTTTTGTAAAGATGTGAAAAATAAAAAAAAAAAACTACAAAAGATCATGCTTTTCTTCTAATGCAAAAAATATTTGACATCAAAATCAAATATGGCCTAGGGCCCAGAATTTGAATAATAAGTTTTGGGGGGTTTTGACTTAATATTTATAAAAAATAACATTACATGAAAACTGTTTTCTGTAAACTTCACTCTCCATTTTAACTTTATCTTAACTTGATTTTTATTTAAAAACTTTAATTTTGGATTTCTCCGATCCCAAGATCCCATAAACCTCCGGAGAGTGTCGAGCTAAATTTTAAATAAAAAAAGGTTATTGATGACATCCCCTAATCTTCACATAAAGATTCATATCATAATTCATAATGAACTATTCAAATATTCATAATAATGTAAAATTTATAATTTTTTTTATAATTTGTGTGAGAAAAACTAATTAAAATTCATAATGAACTATTCAAATATTCATAATAATATAATATTCATTTATTCTGATTCAGAACATTTGTTCTTCTCGATAGCTTCTCAATAACATGAGTTAGTAATAAAAAAATTGAAGATTTAAATCTAATATACTTTTCCATTTAATTTGTGTCTTGTATCTCTGCTATTTGGCAGATTATTATATTTGATTCAACTTTCTAGTTCTGGATTCATACCGAGGTTGTGAAAAATATAGGATTCTTGGAGAATATACTTAACACTGCTAGTCATCATAGGGTTCATCATGGTAAATTTAACTTTATGTTGTAACATTACATACAATACAATACATTTGTTGTAAACTGCAGCAACACAAGAAGAAATAAAAGAACTTCATAATAATATAACATTCTGAACAACATATATATTGTAATTTAATCTATATTTGTTGAATACAACATCAATACAAGAAGAGTGAACTGAACTTCATAAGAAATATAACACTCTGAACAACATATATATTGTAATTTAATCTATATTTGTTGAATACAACAACACAAGAAGAGTGAACTGAACTTCATAATAATATAACACTCTGAACAACATATATATTGTAATTTAATCTATATTTGTTAAATACAACAATACAAGAAGAGTAAACTTAACTTCATGGTAAATATGCATTCTGAACAACATATATATTGTAATTTAATCTATATTTGTTGAACACAATAAGAATAAAAAAACTTCATAGTGAATATAACACTCAGAACAACATATATGTTGTAATTTAATCTATATTTTTGAATACAACAGTACAAGAAGAGTTAACTGAACTTCATGGGAAATATAGCACTCTAAACAACATATATGTTGTAATGTAGTCTATATTTGTTGAATACAAGAATAAAAAACTTCTTAATAAATATAACACTCTGAACAACATATATGTTGTAATTTAATCTATATTTGTTAAATACAACAGCACAAGAAGAGTAAACTGAACTTCTTGGTAAATATAGCCTCTGAACATCATATTGTACTTTAAACTATATTTGTTAAATACAACACAAGAAAAGTAAAAACTAACTTAATATTAATTATAACACTCGTATACTTTAATCTGTATTTGTTGAAAAGCAATGCAAAAGAACTTCTTGGTAAATATAATAGTTTGAACATCATATATCACGTACAGCCGGGTGTACAGTAGAATATCCGAGCTGTGCCAAACTTTGCGGTCCTATTTTGGACTATACCGCCAATTTACAATTACTAACGCGGCAGTCCTGTGTGATATGTTGTAATTCAATTTACCGTTGTTGTAAAGCAATGCAAAAAAAGATTATTCTCTTAGGTGCAAACAGATACTGTCTGGACAAAAACTACGCTGGTGTTCTAATTATTTGGGACAGGTAACAGGGGTTAATGATTATTTTAAAAACTAAACAATAAGATAATTATTGAGATTGAAATAAAAAAAACCATTATTTTAGAATGTTTGGAACTTTTGAATGGGAAAGAAGTGACATCAAGATAGTTTATGGATTAGTGGATCAGCCACAGTTCTTTAATCCTATCAGCCATCAGGTAATAGTATTTTTGGATTAGTAGATCAGCCTCAGTTCTTTAATCCAATCAGCCATCAGGTAATAGTATTAATGTATTAGAGGATCAGCCACAGTTCTTTAATCCAATCAGCCATCAGGTAATAGTATTAATGTAATAGAGGATCAGCCACAGTTCTTTAATCCAATCAGCCATCAGGTAATAGTATTAATGGATTAGAGGATCAGCCACAGTTCTTTAATTCAATCAGCTATCAGGTAACAGTATTAATGGATTAGAGGATCAGCCACAGTTCTTTAATCCAATCAGTCATCAGGTAATGGTAGTTTTGGGTTAGTGATTAACCTCAGTTCTTTAATCTTTCCAATATGCCGCCATACATACAAACATAAATAATTCGGCCTTTAAATTTTTTTTATTTCATGGATTTATTCAAGTTATGTATATTGTACAGGTTATATATGACATAGTGACATATCTGTAAAAAATTGCGTTAAATGGTTTCTTGGTTGTCAATACTCTTTTTGAAAAATACATACATTTATAACAACTAAATTATGCTTTGAATTATGTTTTATTCAAAACAAAAACTATTATATAATTTTAACTAATAGATAAAAAAACTAATCTACAAAACCTAAAAGATAAATAAGCTATATACAGACAATAAATTTACAAAAACAACTTGAGATCCGCAAAATTGTACATTGGAATAAAAAGAATGGGGAGAATAGTATTTAAGAAAACCCTTTAAATTATTTCATCAAATTGGCCCCTTTTTTCTGAACCTATTGATGATTGTTTATCAGTAAATCCCGCATTGAAGATTTTATAGAAAAAAGTAGAAAATATTTATTTGTGTCATCACAATTTAGACTGTTCCAGTTTCACTAAATGTCTCCATATGTATGTGCTGTTCCTAAAGTATTAAAGAATAAAAACTTGACATCAAGAGTTTGTTATGATAACTTTTGAGCGCAACTATTCAAAAGAAAGATATGTGGATTTATTTAAAATTGTCAAAAATTCGTCAAAATTTCTTTAAAATTTATATTTACCTCCATAAATGAAACTCCATGCCTTCGTTTTCTTTTGTATCTTCTCTCCTGAAGTTTATTTTTGATAAATTGGTATATTAATTAGAAATAAAAAAAATAAAATTTGAAATTTGAAGTTTGATAGATGTAAATAAGGATGGTTTAGGTTTTGATATAGCTCACCCTGTCATGAACCGTTTTTGCTCTTAAAATACTTTTCTGGCCCTTTGGTAATTCATCATATATCTCTTCTAAAATATAATTTGTTGCCTAAAGAGACTGTAAACATGAAGGTACTAAGGCAAGGAAAGTTATTTCAGAGGCGTATGCATTTTTTGTACTGCAGTTTACTGTCTTTGGGCGGAAAAGTAAACACAAGACGGATGCAACAGCCTGACATGGAATACATTTTCTCAAATATAATCTATGAAATATTCTGCTAATAGGAAACTATTATGTGAATTTTCAAAATTATCAAATTGTAGTGCTTTTATCCTCCTCAGATACTAAACGATCACTGATGCACCCATTCTTATTTACAAAGTCCGCCCAGAGAGAACTGGTTTAAATGTATACGCAGAGAATACTCAACTGCAATTAACTTTCCTTGCATTAGTACCTTGGTAAACATAAACAATAGATTGACATATCCGATTCATTTGCTTCATTGTCTTTGCAGTTTAGACAAGTTACTTTACAGAGGAAATCGCTTTTGACATGACTCAATTTTCAGGATAAAAAATAGGAATATCTCATCTAACTTTGATCAGGTTTAAAAAGTACCGTTGTGAATTGTCCATGCAGCACTTTAAAAATGGATAGACACCAGAAGTTCCAAATACAGTTCCTTTAATCCTTATCTGTATTTATTTATTTTATTATTTTGTTTTATCTCTTTGCATGAACAAAAATCTAAAGTAATATATTGACAATGTACACTGAACAGACTTCAGAGATAAAACAAGAAAAAAAAGATTCTAAGATGCTTTTAAATTGTTTTTTAAAAATCTTAAAATCTAAAATTTTACTTTTGGTCTTTTCTTCTAATTGGAACATGTTTCTCTTTGAAAGCATGATTACCTTACCGTTTAAACTGATAGAGCTGACACTGAACCCTGAATATATAGAGGCCTGGCTCAACTTCTTGCACTTCTGAAAATAATATTTTAAACAAACATTCAGTAATTAACTTACTGCCTGTTTTTCTTTCTTTTTCAAAGATTCCCTTTGTTAACAACTTCAGTTTTATAAACGGCGTTAACAGAAGATATGTTAACGGTGTCAGCTGTTACTGAGCCATTAACGATAATTTCAAGTAAAAACAGTTGGAAAAGTTGGAAGACAGCATTCAAAAACATCCTAACACATAAAAAACGTCACATTAAGTTAAAAATCAATAATTTTGTTTCAACAACATCTATTTCTGTCTGTTAACGTTTTCAAAATTAACGGATGTTGCCATTTATTAAAAACAGCCTCTTCAATCCCCCCAACACTATATGCCCCGTTTCAATAATAAATACAACACTGGACTTTTTTAAAACTATTAGAGTTTCCATTTTTCGAATGATATGATCCAGCTTTGCGTATCATCTAGGAGGTAGATTTATAAATAAATCGGTTAAAAAGAGCTTAGAAAAAGGTTTGGTATGGCAGGCCTTTACGGATCCAAATTGATCCAGAAAAAGAAAAAACCCTAACCACTGGGCTCTGCTAATTACACAACTTTTTACCTGACTGGGTTTAGAGAACGGCTGAATAGTTTCAGAAGTCCTAAAAATACTAGAATAATAATTTCTTTCAAATGTGTCCCAAAAATTCACTCCCCCCCCCCCTAGAAATAACCTTGTCCCGAAAAGTAGTGCACAGGTGCATCATTGTTTTTTGAGGTTGTAATACAAAATTTTATTTTAGGGGAAAAATTTTTTTGCTATAACTTGAAGGGGCTGTAGACAACATTTCAAATGACCCTCTAGTCATAGAGCGGCAAGTCATATTCACAACGGTACCCTGGCTAAAGCTTCGTCTTATCAATAAGAATGGATAATATATCTATTGTTTTCTCTTTAAATGTGAATCAGGCATGACCTTTTTCTTAAAAAAGGGTCACTTGAAAGTACAAGGACAGTCCCTTTAAGTCAAATAATTAGGTATAAAAAGAATATACCTTCCGAAAGAAGAGTTTGCATACGATAAGTCATTGTAATTTGAATCCCTGAAGAAAAAAAAGATTCGGTTTAGAAAGCAGCGATTTCAAAATTATTAGAAATTTAAATTTTTATAATAAAATCATTTCTTAAATGAAGGGATTGATTGTAATTTCAAAAGAGAAGGAATGCAAACCAGAAATTTGTTAAATATATTTTTGAACTATCACCTTTTCTCTGTAGAAATATCTCTTCTGTTGAATGAACTATTGAGACTGCCAGAGTTGCTTTCACTTTTTCTCATTTCACTAAAAATAGGGAATATATCTATAAAAGTTATAGCAAAGAAATAAGGATCTCAATTTAGTCTTAGTTTTCAATACTTTCAAATTCCAAACTACCAAAACATAAAAAAATACAATATTCTTAAAAACAAGAAATCAAAAAATGTCTGAATAAGAATATTGGTCTTTTAAGATTGGTTACAATTTACAAAAAATAGTGATGATTTGTGTATTTAGAGGAGGTTAGTTAAAATCTTAAAAAACATTTATGTTTCTACAACCTTTGTAATTAATGGTGTACCTCAGTTTTCTGATTTTTATCTTGATATTGTCCCAAGGATTTCCCCAAGATGTGGATGGTACTTCATAACCTTTTTAAACCATTTTCACAGCTCTTTTTCATAAGACAATTTTTTTTTTAAACTGGCTTACCCCTTTCCCCCCCCCCCCCCACTCCGTGGTCACAGCCAAATCGTTTGATCCCCTTAAGCCAGTCTATAGATGTGGCAATTGTTCAGAATCCTGGTTTAGAATTGAGCAAAAATTTAAACTTTCTAATTATGAAACTGGAAATAATGCCTAAAGGGATTGTTTCCATCGGTTGATCTGGTTCCTCCTCCATCCTTCCTCCACATATTTTACATTTTTATTTTTTCATCATTTCAGTCAAAACTTGACAAGAACAAATGTATAGCCTTTTGAAGGAAATTGTTTATTTTTTCAAAAAGGAAACTAATTGTGTTCTGCTAAACTACCAACTTCTGAAATCTTTTTTTTAGATCTAGATATTTATTTTGTAGTAGAGATTAAGATATTTCAATTGTATTACAAGTTTACAACTTTCATAAATGGAAAAACTACATTATTTATTTTCTATATAAATGATTCATATGATAGACACAGATTAGACTTTGAATGCCAGTGCAATATTTCGCAGCTGACTCCCTCGTCATCCATTGCTGNCCCCGCCATAGCAACAGCTAGCTGGGTCAGCTGGTATCTGGCTAGGAGACAGAGAGTCACAGAGATGTGTTGTTGCTAGCAGGGTTAGGGGGAGACTTCTAAAATCAAAAGTTTAATGAATAAGTTTGAGATAGAATCCATCTCATTTAAAAGTTTCTGTCTCAATAGAGATTTGTATTACATATTTTCTGTATTAAAATTTAAAATCCCTTGGGGATTCCATTATTGATCTCCAGATAGTTTCAGCCTCGTTGTCAAATTTTAGATCATCATAATCAGGTTCTCTAGAAACGTTATAGTGTCTGTTATATTTTCTCACAAGTTATCAATCAAGATTCTTACCTTGATTCTACAGCTATTTTTACAGCTGCCCTTTCAGCATACATGCTTGGAAGGTAGTCATACAGGTTTTTGATCTGAAATATATTGTTCTAAATAAAGGTAAACAATTCAATATAGCACCAAATCAATAAGGAATCAATGAAACTTCCAAGATTTTAAAACTGAATTATTTGAAAGTTTGCTTTTAATAAGTTCTGCAATATATTAATCCTAAAATTGGGAGAATGATCCAAAAACGATATTGACAACACGTTTGTTTTTGGGTTGTTTCTTGGATATATGAATTTGGTTAAACTATTAAATTGAATAAAATGCTACTAATGTACTGTCCCATCTACACTTCATGATATTGTTACCTCTGCAAATCCACGAACAACCTCTTCTGTCATAGGTATACCATCCATCATATTAGTTGGTAACGAATCAAAGAATCCATCTTCCTCATTCATAATTCGGGATCTTCGCCTTGCTCTAAATATATTTATATCATTTGCCATTATAAACATTTTTAAAGTATGTTTTTTTTATTTTTTTATGAGCAACACCTTTCTGTGAATCATTTCTTATTTATCTCTTGGTTCATCCCAATTTAAAAGTTTACTTTGTGAATATAAAGTTCAAAACCAAAAAAACCTTAGCTTTTTATTAGAAATATAAACTTTTTAAAAACTACCTCATTTTGACAGTTTTCCCTTCAGAGTAGGTGAGAAATACAAGAAGTACAAGAGATACCCAACAAATTCCTAAATCTCTTAATTGTACTTTTTATGGAAATAAAATAAAACTGAAGAAATTCCAAATTATTCATTATTGCCCATCTTGAAAACCCCACAATTTCAGATTAAAATTACTTAAGAAAAACCTCATTATCTTAATCTTAATAATTTTTAAAACTTGATGTTAGTTTTATGTTAAATTAGCAAGTTAAAAAACATAAAAAAGTTTTTACTTCCAAACAATTGACTCAAGATTATACAATTATTTCAATAGATTTTAAATTAAGATTGTTCCTATAAGTGTAACAGCTAAAACAATCAAGGTTTCCTGGAAATAGTTTTTTTAATGATTTTTTACATTTTTATTGAGTTCACATGTTTTATTGAGTTTCACGATTGATTTTATACATTTAGGTTATTTGCACACTCTGCACACTAAAAAGGGTAAAAACAAAATTTCATTAAGTAAAAACTTTTGCAGTAAACTTGTTTTTAAAAAAAATTTCCCCGCCCCGAAAAAAGTCCTTACTTTATAAGAATCTAACCTTTTTTTCCTAATCGTTTCAAATCATCTTTTTCCCGTGATTTCATTTTATAAATTAGACTAAATTCCTCTACATAATTTGTGAACACAAATCTTTCCAGATATGTATTGGTATACAGTTTTTCCAATTCCACTCACCTCAAAGAAGGACGGGGCCTGACAACAAACAAGAACTTCTTTTAAAAATTGATTCTCTCCAGAAACAAGCCTTTAAATATAATGATTTTTATATGTTTAACGAAATCATCATAAACTTCAATTTCACCATCCAACCAAAAATTTTATTAAAAAATTGAACCTGAGTAAAACATCTTTCTCTTTTAAAAGCTTGTCACACATAAGATCTGTATTCCTCGGAAACCCATAGGTTAATGAGTACACACACGGGTTCTAATCACTTTTTTTTTGGTAAAATTCACTATTTACTTTCTACGCCAATTAGTCTGTTTAAAAGACATCCTGTCCTTATTCTTTGAAACGACACTGAACCAGAATAATTACATCACAGATAATTAATTGCACCATAGAATTATAATTATGCAAATTAGATATCACTTAAGTTTATAATGTTTAAATAACAGGAGCTAGGTAGCATGCAAGGAAAGAGTAACTGAATATGGATTAGGATAAGTTGAAGTTTGACGGTGCAGTTGGATCAAATTTCAATTGTTAAATTAGGAGTTTGTATAATTTCAAAGGTTATTGGTATAAATCGACAATCTAAAAAGTGATTCACTTACTAAATTATCTTTTAATTAAAAAAATATTGTTTAAAAAAAATCTGCAATGTTTTCGTTTTGCAAAAATGCTTTGTTCGGCGACCTTGTTAATTTTTGCAAACAAATATAGGACATTTGACCCTTTTGATTGCAAAATTAACCAGCTGTATCGTTTATTCAATTTTGAAAAGAACGAAAATAAAGTTTCATTAAAAAAAATACATTTTTAGGGTCTTGAAAATAAGAAAAAAATTTTATTTGCTCAACTCTTGGAGTAAGAATTAATGCATTGGCTTTATTCTATTCGACAATAAACAACATAACAGGATGTCAAGTATTAAAACAATTGGCTTGAAGTTCTTGTATAAATGATATTTGATATCAATGAACTAAGCAAGCATCTGCATTCACGTCATACATTGTGTATCTATCTTCCTTATATTCTATATGTAACTTAGGTTTATGTAACCTAGAGATTTCCTTTAAAGTTAACATTTCTAAGCCTGGGCACATTCCAATTTAATGGTTAAATAAATTAACGAGACGTACAGGAATATCATGTCACCAGTTGTTTAGTTTGTTAACGAGGGTTGTTTATCAAATCAAATGAATTGTTTTGATTTAAAATTTCAGAAAATACAGAACTCGACAACTTATCGAACAATTAATACAAATTAGAAAAAAAATATCTTTCATGTTTTATGCGATTTAAAACATTCAAATTGAAAAAAAAAATCCCTTTATTTTTCGTTCATTTTTCCCATGAAGGATATTTTTCGTTCAAAATTGTCAAAGCGCCGTTTATTCTTCATTTTATACAATTTAATTTAATTTGATACAATTTTACAATGTTGGCAGGAAGCTATATGTTTTCTATACTAAGCTTTTAAACGAGGCTTATTTTCTTTTTTTGATTCATTTGTTCCTATGTTGTACATAACAATAACATTAAAAAAAACATATTTCAACCTCAATATGAAACTGTTTAGCAAGCTAAAAGCGTTTTATAGAGTAGGATCAAAGTTCTTTTAAAAACTGAAAACGTGCTAACTGAATCAACGAGGTTATAGTGCAAAGAGTGCTTGTGTACGCTAATCCTTTACTAATTTTATTGGCCATTAACTATACCAAGAGCGTACTGCATATTTGTTGATTCTGGCCTAACCTATAGGATATCAATATTAGTAAACAGTTGTAAGTGTACAGTACAGCTTTCTGAGCACACAAGTAGAGAACTATCATCCCCCCTGGACTGAATTATCTAACAAATATATTTTTAGTTATTCTACTATGGAAAAGTTTTGGAGAAAGCGAGATCTATGGATAATTGGATGGATTTCTTTTTTGCTTTTGTGAAGGGCCCAGGCTGGTTTCCAGGAACAGAAAGGTTGGGAGATATCACCTTCGTACCAGAGGTATTCAAATTCAAAAGGAATTGAGTCTTTGCCACAAGCTCTGATTTTCGAATTCCTATATCTTTGCAACCCTATGTCTTAGACCTTAAATGTCTCAAACGATGAACTCTGTTTAGTTTAAATACAGTGGTAGGCGATTATATCAATAGAATGAAGACGACTTTCGATTTTAATTTTGATTTATATCAACAGCAAGGATTAAAATAAACATAGAAGACTTGTAAATTTCAAATTCGAAAAATGCTTATTAACAATTAAAACTTAAATTGAAAGTCGTCTTCATTGTATATCTATAATGGCCTATCACTGTAATTAAAGTTTGAAGAATAATAAAACTACACATCAGATTGCAAAGACATTAAACATTTGGAGTTTATGGGAAAAACTCAATTCCTTTAGTATTTACAAATAATAACCAGACTTTTAAAGCGCTTCGCGAATTATTTTCCCCAGAACTTGTACCCTATACTGTCAAAACAATCTACACTGGTTAGGCGGGTCCAATCTACATGGTAAATTGGGATTATCTATTTGTTTTATTTCATGCTTTGTAGTTAAATAAAAATATGAAATCTAAAACCAGTTTAATTTAGCTTTTTCTACTTTTATTCGACAAAACATGGAATGATTCTTTCGGTGAATGATCCATCGTCAATGCAAACTACAGTGATCTCCAAAATGCAATAGAATATGAAGACGACATAATAGAAATACTTAAGTGTTTATTTGATGTTGTTACAAAATAAACTAGACGCTTAATAAAACATAAAAATAAGGGAAATGGGCCTGTTTCCACTGCACGATTGCTGTGTCTCACGCTCATTGGACTTTTTAAAGTTATAACTTGATTCTAAAAGTCGTTTTTTTAAAAAAATTTTCTGATTTTATGTTTATAAACCCGTCAACATATAAATAACGACAATACTGATTACTAACAACAGGAACCAGTTCGTGATGTTTATAAACCCGTCAACATATCAATAACGACAATACTAATTACTAACCACAGGAACCAGTCCGTGATGTTTATGCTCCCAAGATATCCCCTCTCCTTCATGTTTACACAGTTCTACACTTCATTATCAGCATCATCGCCGCAGATCTTGTTGTTAGGACTTTACAGGTAATATAACACTTGTGCCCGGCCGGGGAATTAAAAAATCCAATTTTGAAAAACATATAAATTTTAAAAAAGAAAAATTTTTAGACTTTTTAGTTTATTTTACCCCCAGAGTACCCATGGGTTCCCTCAAAAAATGTCAGCCTGTTTGGTCAAGACATAGCTAACATATAAATATATATACAAATATATAATCAATTTAGCAATGTTTCATAGACCAATTGACATTGACCAATCTTCCGTGAGGTCTGTTCTCTACTTAATTATATAAAAGAAGAATTTATTTTTATATTAATTAGAGAGTTTTAAAACATGGGTATTAAGCATAGATATGGTATTAAGTAACGACTTCTATATCGTCCTTAATACAACCAAAATTGTTTCGCTAATAGCCATGGAATTTCCAAATTGTGGTCTACCATCTTAAATTACATTAAGAATTTGTCAAAATTTCAATGTATCTTTATCAATACAAATAAGCTATAAGTTCAAAATTTAAAAAGCTTAAAACATCTACAAGTTGTAAAAAGTATGAAACCAAAGACGATTTTAATGTTGTCTCAAATTGTCCATGTTGATTAAATGGTTTACTGTAAAATGAAACGTAAGCAGAAAACTAAATGTATGAAAAAATTTAGAATTATATTTAACTGATTCAATTCATCAGCAGATGAATATATACTGACTGTGACAAAATAATAAAATTTCATTTTTAATCTAAAATTTTTATTAATATCTATACATTCTTTAAGGATATGGAACAGTGGACATCTCTTCTAGTTATTCTCTACATTATTGGTACCTTGACTTCATTAGGTAATCTTTTATTTATTCATTTTCCTAATTCATTAAACTCAGCTTTGAATTTTATGGAAAGTATATTTACTAATGTTAGTAAATATACTGAAAAAGTTCTAAAATTTAAATTTACAAAAATAGTTTTTTTTAATTCCATGGGCAACGTCTGGCCAGTTAGCTAGTTTAAAAGAGAAATCAAATAATAGAATAAAAACACTATAAAGCAGAAAATGTGATGTCTAAAACCCACTTGTTTCAAAGAGGCTATCAACTCAAAATCTTTACGGTCCAGAATCAGACTTAGAAAAACTCTATTGATCGATTCTCTAAACTCTCAAATTTTGCGGATTTTCTGAATTTTCTCCGAAACTACTCATCTGAACTGTTTAAGATTTTAAGGTGTGATATAAATAACATATTCCCGCACTTCTGTTTTTGTACTCATCTAATTTAAGCTGAGCTGAACACCTTTGAATGGTTGGTTAATTACATTAAAATCCGAGACAGTGTCTAAACTGCAACTAATCAGAATGTCGATCCAATTCAAAAGTTTAGCTCTGAGTAATTCATTTTCTTTTATTTAGGTGTTCTTTACGACGGTACAAGATGGGCTTGGATAGCAGAACTATCAAGGTCATACAGTTTCACCCTCTCTTTTTATTCAGATATTTTTTACAAAAACTACCTTTTTCGCAAATTTGTGCAAACAAAGTTGTGCAAAACATAAAGAGTTCTTGACAATATCATTTTTTAATGAGCAAAGGTAAATGCAAAATTATTTTTAAACCTAAAAAACTAAATCTGACAATAGGATGTTGGTTAAAATAGAAATTCAGTTTTCATATAGTGAATCCCAGATATATGAATACATAGACCGTCATAAGTTTTTGATAATTCTAAAGAAACTTCTTCTTATTTTTAATTCAAGGTAAATTAATATCCCTGAAATAAGAATGCATTTGATATTTTAATATTTAACTCATTTTTCCGCGGCATTTGATCTTAAATATATAATACGCGCGACATTATATTATGTATTCATATATCTGGGATTCACTGCAGAAGAAGAGTCAGGCATTCAGGCAGTAGTATACCTGAGGATCGATTGCTAAGCATTTACTGTCATGTGCCATTTTAAAGCGAGACATATAAGCATTTTGGAAAAGACAGAAAATCCGAATAATGTTCGTTTTGAGAAACAACAAAAAAATGTTTGATAAACAATATTAATTTTCTACATACATGAAATTAAATAAAATATTAAAGACTGACTAACAATATTAATTGTAATAATTGTATGTTTTTCTAGATTTGTTTTAGCATTTTGTCTTTAATATATGACATTTAACATTAACTTTACCATTTGTTTACATTTAATCATATGATGTACATTACATGCACAATGAGTGTATGCATCACATGTACAATGTAAAAGATTGTACAAATGTATTGCATAAAGTACATATTTCAGGTGTATGGTTAGTTTAGTTTATCTGGATGTTTTGGCTCAATTTATGATCTTTCCACCCCATACTCTTCAGCTGGCCTTCACAGGTTAGAATATTTATATCAGCTGTTATCCACATACTCTTCAGTTGGCCTTCACAGGTTAATATATTCATAACAGCTGTTATCCACATACTCTTCAGCTGGCCTTAACAGGTTAGAATAATTATAACAGCTGTTATCCACATACTCGATCTTCAGCTGGCCTTCATAGGTTAGAATATTCATAACAGCTGTTATCCAAATACTCTTCAGCTGGCCTTCACAGGTTAGAATATTCATAACAGCTGTTATTCACAACAAATAAAAATTTAATGACGACCTTTACAGCATACACGGGGGCTGGAGAACGTTCCTTAAAAAAACGGAAGTATTGAAAATTAACCGAAGAGTCCAAAGCGTATGTGTTTCAAAATAACGGCGACTTTAGTTCTTTTTTTCTGCTTAAGATTGCAGAAAATAAAAAAAATTGTTTGGTAGAGTATTTAATTGTAGTTTATTCGTCATTTGAAACTTGTAATTCGTTTAAAAGATTACATAGTGATCTGAAGTAAACATTTTTTACATTTAAGTTCAAACATATCTGGAGAATTTAAAAAATGTCGTATTCATAACTTTCTGATAATGGAATGCTAAAGATATTTCGTTTTTTAATTAAATAATTATATGGAGCTCTTTAAAAATGTACCCGCATATTCATGGCTATTTATTTATTTTTGCAATTTCTGAGATTTACGTAAAAAAAAACATTAAATCTATTGAAAAATTGGTAAGACAACATTTCAAAAATTCTTTCGATGACTCAATATATCTGGGGTAAACTGTATCTTAACCATTCTTTGCTAGGATCTGCTATCGTGGCTTCTGCTTGCTTGGCTTCTGATCTAATGGGAAAGAAGGAAAAAGCTGAATAATTGGAAGAGTGATGAGAGACAAATTATTGATTTATCAATTTTAATTAAATAAGTACTAGTTTGTGATTAAAAATAAATAAATATATAAGATAAATGAAATCTAAAATTAAATCTAAAAAGGCTTAAACCTTCTCTGTCCAAAAATATTCTAACACTGCGAACCAAAATAACAGTTTATAAATAGTTAAATTATTTAGAATTGAAGGGTTAACCACAGTGAGACTTTAATTACGACCAGAAACTCTGTAAATATAACAAAGTCTTGAATTGTCTTTCAAAAATTGAACAGTCTTTGAATGCCACATTGATACATTTAATAAGGAAAGAAACTGGTGTTTAGTCACCTTAAACCATAAATGTAAGTAAAAATGCTTTTTTTGTTCGTCTCATCTTTTATGTATAATAAATTGAAGCGGTCTCTTAAGTAGGAAGAACAATTTATAATCATTGGAAGAAGAAGTTGGAATAATTAAAGATTTGCTCAGTAAAGAGGCGCCATTTTTAAGATATTAAAAAGATAAGAAGAAGTTACAATACTTGAAGATTTGGTCGGTAAAGAGCATTTTTGAGAACTAAAAAGATAGGAAGAAGTTACAATACTTGAAGATTTGGTCGGTAAAGAGACGCAATTTTTGAGAACTAAAAAGTTTATAAGAAGTTACAATACTTGAAGATTTGGTCGGTAAAGAGACGCCATTTTTAAGATATAAAAAGATAATTAGAAGAAGTTACAATACTTGAAGATTTGGTCGGAAAAGAGGCGCCATTTTTAAGAACTAAAAAGATACGAAGAAGTTACAATTCTTGAAGATTTGGTCGGTAAAGAGACGCCATTTTTGAGAACTAAAAAGATACGGAGAAGTTACAATTCTTGAAGATTTGGTCGGTAAAGAGACGCAATTTTTGAGAACTAAAAAGATACGTAGAAGTTACAATTCTTGAAGATTTGGTCGGTAAAGAGACGCCATTTTTGAGAACTAAAAAGATACAAAGAAGTTATAATACTTGAAGATTTGGTCGGTAAAGAGGCGCCATTTTTAAGAACTAAAAAGATAATTAGAAGAAGTTACAATACTTGAAGATTTGGTCGGTAAAGAGGCGCCATTTTTAAGAACTAAAAAGATAAGGAGAAGAAGTTGCAATACTGAAAGATTTGGCCAGTAAAGGCCAAGGGACACCATGCTTTCATGAAAGTTAATCAATGTAAAACACTTCATCTGACATACAGTTAAACCCTAAATGAGCCATACCTCAAAAGAATTTATCAAATGTCGTCTTGACAATTTTTTATGGGTTTTATACTATTTTACGTAAATCTCAGTATTTGCGAAAATAAAAAAATAGCCATGAATATGCGGGAACAGTTTCAAAGAGCTCCATATAATCATTTAATCAAAAAACTAAATATCTGCAACATTCCAATATCAGAAAGTGAAGAATACGACATTTGATGAATTCTTTCCATGCATGGCTTATTTAATCTAACTGTAAGATACGAGAAAATTTGTGCATCTTTTTGCACCATCATTTGATACTTTTTAGACATTAAGGACTTAATAACAAACAATAAAATTTTATTTTCATTTAATAAAATACTGAAGAACAACTAACAACGAAAAAGATTACAATTAACATTACTATGAGTTTGAGATTAAAGTTTTCAAAAAGTATGAATTTAATTGAAACATTTCTGAGTAAATGGGACCTTTGTTTGAAATTTTCGAAAAATTGGAGGGTAAAAATAAATTTTATTTAAATGGTTTAACATCGAATGGGACAGGGGATCGCCCAGGAAAAGTATTTTAACCCGACGAAAATGTTTCAATAGCTTTTATAATACATTTTAGAAATTGAAAGTGAATGTTATCCATAGAGAGGAATGTGAATCATCAGAAAATACTAGTTTATTTGTAAATTTATGTTAATTCATTGTTGTCTCATAAAGCAAAGGTACTTTGTTGTTTCAAATTGATTTAAACATATTTAATTACAAAAGCCACAAACAATGATCCTCAAAAGAGTCGAATTTACAAAGTAATTGGTGTATATATAAAATATAAATTTCAGTTTATGACGGTGTTTGTATCATTCCCTTGCAGGACCGATTTGCCGAAAAATGTGATTGGGGAACCACAGAATGTTCTTTGCTTCTTGGCTAACCAGTTAAAGTTGAGTGGTTGATATTTTACAAGGGTAATACAGGGTGTCCCACGAAACATGACAGTTGGTGAATAGTTTTCAATGTCTTCTTTCATGTCTTTTGTTAAGTTGTTTGATACCAAAGATGATGATAAGAAATACTAAATGGCAGTTATATTATGGAAAAATTGAATTCAAACAAATATATATTTGAGTATAAGTTTTGTTAAACGAAATAAACTGCAAAAAGTCTTAATCACCTTATACAGTATATTTTGAAGTTAATTTTAACATAATATGACTGCCATATAATATTTTTTATCATCGTTTTTGGTATCAAACAACTTAAAACATTATGGAAGAAGACATTAAAAACTATTAACCAACTGTCATGTTTCGTGGGGCACTCTGTATATATGGAGGAGCACATCTTACAAAGATTCCATAGATCCTTCAACAGCTTTCCTTAATCTTTGTTTGCATGCAAAAGTATAATTTCGTCATCAATTGCATTGAAATATAAACAGATCACTCAGGGTGTAAGTGTACATCGTAAAAGTTTAAAATATACAAAATAAATAAATAAAATAACAGATAATGTTTTCAAGATAAAATGAATTTAATTTAGTTTTTTTCGGAACATCGTTGAATTTGAATTTTTAAAGAGCTCCTGGGATTGTAGTAGATAAGTCCAACCCGGAAGTAATATTACAAGATGGCGCTGATGGTCCGGCCCAAGCTGGAAACTCTGACAATCCAAACAAGGGAACTCCCCACGTGTTTATTGCAAAGCTGAAATACACAGAAAATGGTAAAGTCATTTTTAACGAGTTCCATCAACAAATATAAATAATCAGCTGAATGCCTGGAGTTGTCCAGGATTATTTCATTATTCATAGTGTCAAAGATACATTTCTCCTTAAACTTGGTTATTTTTAAATGTGTTTTCTCTATAAAAGTGACTTGCGAGTTTCTTGCTACAGAAACATAAACGGAATAATGAGAATTAAAGAATGGATATTTCAATGTAGGGTCAGCTGAAATTACACGTATGGTCCCTTCGATCATTATAAAATCCCTTGAAAGAAAGTGATTCTATTTTTTTGTAGGAACTGCTTATTTTGATAAAAATGTTGAATTTTTAATCTGAAAACAGTCTGCTCATTGTATGAAAATTAATTCATTTTATTAAGGGCATTACTAAAACAGGAACATAAAAGGGGTAACACTTTAATCCAAATAAAATTTAATAAAAAATGTTGTGTTCACTTTTAAAAAAAACTTACTTTGTAGTGATAATACAAATAATGTTGAGAAGAAATCCAGCTTTCATCATATCTTGAATTAAATGTTTACATCAGTTTAACAACGTTTTTTTAGGGCAACAGGTCGACGACTACTGTTAGACTTTAGTTATAATTTTGAACAGTCTAATGAAATGTCAAAATAAAGTGAAACAATTTTAAAGTTTCAAATGTTAAAATGTGCAAAAAAACGCATTTTTATGAAAATACTGTTTAGGTTATTATTGATGTCACTTCTTGGTAATTTTCATTATATACGTGCTATTAAGTTAAATTAGCTATATATTATGTTTATAGAGCTATGCTAAAAAGTTTCAATGGTTTTCTGATTTTCTCCAAAATTTTTTGACCATTTCTATTTTCATAAATTCAAAACAAAATAAAAAAAGAAATTTAATTGTATCTTAAACATTTCTGCTTTGTAAAGAAACTTATTATATCTAGAAATAACCTTTATATCCTGACAAGTACACACAAATATCATAAAATTACCTATAACACTATTATTTTGGTACGACATGTTAAAACGTTTTTGGACTTCAATTTCGAAGGTTCTCGCTGTATGGATTATATTTTGTCCCGAGCTTTAGTGAGTTAGGTTTGAACCAATATGATAGTGTTATAATAATTATTTTGTAAATTATCTCTCATCTTCAAAAAAAAACTTTTAAAAAACCTGAAGTCTTCATTGTGCTGTGGCTAAACACAATAGCATTAGGTGCTGTAGCAACAGGAAGCATGAAAGCATAACTACAGCAGACAGCTGCTGTCATCATCAGATAAATGGGATTCTGACATAACGACAGCGACATCTAAATAATTACACATTTTAACCAGTCCACACAGGTAAAAATTACAAATAACACAGATGTGATGAGCCTGGGAAGAAATCATTAATATTGTATTATCTGAGACCCCTTCTTGATGGAGACCCCTGCCATATCATTGGAGACCCCCAAGCTTGTTATCACTAACCCACTGATTTGCATTCCCATTATCAAGCTCTATCTTGAAATTAACCAGAATTTCATTGGAAATTTAAAATATCTGTGTTGAAATAGATTGTCTCTAATGTTGCCAATGAAAATCAATGGGTCCCCGTGTCATTGGAGAGTTTTTCCCATGGCATACCAATGATGATGATTTTTCCCAGACTCACATGACATATGCATGTATTATTATTTGTAACGTCTTAAACGACAATGATTGTTTAATTCATTGTACTTCATTTAACAAGCCACTTTGTTGATATAGAAATACATGANATATATATATTTATACATAAGCGAAGAGCTTTATTTATAGATTAAAAGTTTACCTCGGTTACAAAAGTTGTTGCGCATGATATAATAAGATTGATTTGCCAGGTTTCCAGGTATTGTAAACTAATGAGCTTGCTCGCCAGGTAGTTGGATAGTCCAGAACTAAACACAGATTGAGACCTTGTCAATTCTATTCTAAATTTTCTTTAAAAAGCAACTGATCTTCCATTTCTAGAGTTAAATGTCATATTTATACCATGACCAAACCTTTGTCTACTCATCGACGGCTGAAAAGTGAGAAATTCATATTTTTCAAGCTGAAAATGGGTTGGAAAGTATTTCGAGAATCTAGAGTTTACAATAGCGTTAAATGTGAATTCAACGCAACTGACTTCAAATAATTTTCGAAAATTCTAATTGTTATATGTTCATCGCGGTTTTTGAAAATTCGGATAAAATATTTATTTTCTTTAACTTCCGGAAAGTAAAAGCTTCTAACTATAAAGCAGCTTGCAAGCTAATCTATCAACAATAACTAGCGATCCTGTGGATATAACAAGGTCAATGGTTAACAGCTCTTACATAAGGAAGAGATAAACAAACAAAATTTGCGGGAACATCTTATAACAAGAAACAATGCAAATAAAATACTAGGCTTTGAGGTCGTGTGTGTTCTTTTATTTTTACTTTTATTTAAGCTTTGATTCCCCGCAATATATCAAATACTAAATATTATTATGCAGCCTATACGCAATATCCCCCGTACTGAACTTCTCACCTACTAACTTTCCGACCTACTGCAATATCGGACCTACAACAGCTGATTAGTTGGGGGTTAGGTCAGGTTTAGATAATATCTGAGCTGAGCTCTGCGGCTAGGACAGGCTAGGGGGCCGAGCGCCGCGGCTCGAAAAAGCTAGGAAGCCAAGTCATGCGGCCAAAAGTCCGGTAAAACTGCACGTGCTATAGTAGGTTAGAAGTGGAGTATATGGGATGTGCGTAGGGTGAAGGATAAACCATCTACTAAATAAAACAAGTACTTCACCTGGCTGTAGCATCTGCTAGAGCAAACCCTCCTCCTAATAGTAATATTACTCCCCAGGGTAACCGTTTCTCAACTAAAGTACGGGCTGTTCAAGTATACAGTTGTTGACTTGAAAAGTCACTATAATAAAATAAAGAGATCTAAAATGGATATTTCTAACATTTATTTAAAACGAAAGTGTTTTGAAATATTTGCATTTAAGGCGGAGTTAAAATTGGTTGATTTAGAAATTAACAAAGGAATTAATGATGAATGTTGTGGGTACTTCATGGGAGTGATGTAGATCTTCATGTTGGTGAAGCAGATCAACAGGATCTTGAACAACAGGACTTATCCAACCTAGTAGGCAGAGATCGCGGCTTGTCATGCTGGCTATGAGCGATTATGTTGTCTCTGGAATGCATGATGAACTGGGAACCCTTCGGGTAAGAGCGTCTGCTGCTATCTGAGTATCTGCGTCATCATCATAAAGGAGTCAAGAGGCTCCCTGTGTCGGAGCTGTTACTAGTTCAACTGTCCTAACATGACTGAATACCGGGAGGGAGCTGGGATGAGCGGAGATTCGACATGTGGGCACTACATGAGGAGGAAATGGATTTGAGTACACATACATCTAGAGAAAAGGCTGGGGCATTTGAGTCGGAAAAATCGTCTTCCTTATATTTCGAATTAATTTTAACAACAGTGTTCTTGCCTGGCTTCGTTAGTTTTATTGAACGTATTGGGTCAACTTTACAATGGGTAGTCCAGACTGGGCGGTACGACTGAATGCATATACAGTAAATGCTGTACCGGCTCGAATCATGCAAACTTTCATTCAATGCAAATTTACGATTTTTAACCCGTCCTAGGTTAATATGATGCAAGCCTGCACCATTCTGTAGAACCTAATTATTCGGTTTTCTCTTTTTATTGTGGCTCAAATTTGATCTCTTACCGGGGACCGAAAATAAGGAATTTGATATAGGGCGCTGAACTTAAAGTGTTATAATATATTTATAGAAAATAGAAAAATAATTCAAGATACGTGGTTGAACCGTCTCTAGACCTGGCTCAAATTCATCACTTCCGTTTCTTAGGCAAAGTTGCAATAAGATTCAAATCAAATCAAATCAAGTAATTCTATCTTGGTTTAGTAGGTCTGGACTCAAGAGTAGATTTCCTGGAATTTGCTTTGAAAAGACGACATTTGTTAGTATTTTAAGAAATCTGCGGAAAAATTCATACAGAATGGGAAATTCAATATAATGATGAAAAAGAAATAATTGATTCTAAAATTAATTTATTAACAAATTTCTACTGACAGTTGGTAAAAAGTTTAGAATGTCTTCTGCTAAACCAATACTAATATACCAAAGACAATAATAAAGGAGTCATATCATAGTAAAAATAATTTCAACGTAAAATATACTGAAGCAAACGATTTTTTAAACGAAATAAACTGCAAACAACCTTTAATATCTAATAAAGTGAATGGAAGACGACATTCAAAACTATTTACCAACTGTAATGTTTCGTGGGACACCCTGTATGTTCCTGAACATCTAATAAGTTTGCTGTTGAGTTTTAGTTTCAATTTTCGTTGTCGTTATTAAATAATTTTTAAAAAACATTCTCAAAATTATCCCTCAAAAATAAACAATTTACGAGGATTTTAAAGATTGAACTTGAGAATCTAAAATGCACCGTAAAAACATGAATGATATAAATTCCTCTACAATACTGCATTCTCAGCTCAACTGTTCTGTCTAGACAGACACTCCCTTTAAGCTTGTTATATAACCTGTATGCCAATCTAACAATGCTTCTGAGGGTTGTGTACTAGAAACATTTTTAGGAAGAAGAAATAACATCCAGACAATCAAAACTGCAGGGGTAGCGCTGCCAACAGTTGCCTTAAAGGGACTGTGTACTTATTTTGTTAATGTGAAGGGGTTACATTTTTTAAATAAAGAAGATTGCAATTTTACAATTAGGGAGTTTCACTAAACATAATCGTCTTTTAACTTTTGATTTTAAAAAATTTCATCAAAAGTTGCATGATAATGTTATTCGAGGGTGAAAAAGATAACAGGACTTGCCGGGAAAAAAGTGCTTATTTATCTTGGATTACATTTTTTTTGTCCCATGGGGTCGTTAAATAAATTTTGTTCTCTGTTTACCTTAGTAAAGAAGCTTGCCCAGCCTGTAATAAAAACTGGATCTTGGAAGAACCAGAGAATGACCAACAGGATAAAAAGAATTAAAACCTTTAAAAAAAAAAAACAATCTTTGAAAAACGAATTTAAACTTTAACCTTATCCAGGTTCTGTTTTGTTTTGTTTTAAAACGTAACTTTGATTGTAAATCGAAAAAATGTTTTTAAAAAGTTATCGAAAAATATTAACAAAAGGGCTTTCTTAATATCTAAATTTTAAGATTTGTAACTTAATTATTAGAATAGAAATGGGCTTTTTTGATTTTTTTTATATCACCGTCCGTCTTTTAAAAGTTAAACTTGTTGATGTTTTGATGAACAAATTTGAAATCTTGCAAATTAGAGGAAATATAGAGCCCGCATTCTTGAACTTAATACCTCTAAAGTGACTCTCATAAATCTGTGGAATCGTTCCTGTTTGTATTTGATGTTGTCAATAGGAAAATGATTTGTCCAAAATGCTACTTAAGTTAAAACAAAAACAATGCAGAAGGCTGTGTTTCATGTTTCCTAGATTCCATAGTGTTATTGAACACCCCTTTATGCATATAATTCTGACCTGAATTTCATGAAGAGACATTTTCCCCAATTCTCTTTTCTTCCCCGCCAGGATATTCTTGACCTTGAGTTCTCCTTCTCTTGTTGGTTTAGGACTTCCCCGGGTAGCATAGGCCTTAGTAGGTTTTAAAGGGATTGTAATTTTAAGGGATCTTTCATTCGGGCCAATTCACAATGCACGGGCAGCCGTAGTACATTTGAATTTCCAAGCCGGGTCAACCTTTCCGGTCCCAGTTTTACCGTACCTAGCTCTTTGGACAGGACTAGCCAGTGCAACAAGGTTGACGCGGTCAGACTTTAATGCTGCATATAGGTTGAATTTACTTTTACTAAAGAGGCAGAGGTGCGTGAACGGTACTATAAAACCTGAATCTGATCAATAAGTGAAAGAAAAATTCGTTTTTCTACTTAAAAAGATGTTTATTTATTTTTTTCTCCATTGGTTTTGAAGCTAGAAATACTTGAAATAGGGTTCCCTGAGTTAGTTAAATAGACATTTGCTCAATTAATTTTCTTCCTATCTCTCTGAACTTGTAACTTTTATATCAATCAGAACAAAATAAAAACTAAAAGTTCATATTTTCTACCAAACCAAGTGTTTCTTATTTAATACCTCCATTGCAATAAGAAGGCACCAAGCTGCAAGTGTGTTGACCAGCATTAAAGGAACATTGAAGGCCATCCAAGTTGCATAACTGAGTGGGGCCTGTTTTATAAAATTTATGAAAACAAATTCATTCAAACATATTTTAAGCTCGAAATATTAACTTGTTCATCACATCAGCAGGTGACGAAATATTAACTTGTTCATCACTTCTTATAAGAAGCAGGTGACGAAGTTGAAAAATGTTTGGATTTTAATATTTATCTCTTCATTACACGGAGGGAACAGAGGGATGCAATTTATATGGGAGGGAATTTTTTATTGCCGAGGCTTCCCAAGATCTTGTTAGGTCCTAAAGCATCACGAGCGTGATATCTACGGGACCCAACAAGGTCGAAATTTAACATCTTAATTTACATTAAAATCTACCCTTTTCAGGTTATACAAACTATAAAATCTATCTAGTTTTGTAACACATTTTTGAGTTGAGAAATGAAATCTAATTAATGTTTTCAATGTTGTAAACCCGCAAGTTCTTGACAGAAAAATTCGCAATTTATTAAATATCATCCCTAGGTTAGCAATCTAACATTGTGACCCCATGGTTTCATGGTTGCAATGTAAATATCAGGGATTCAATAATTCATAATTTTGCTCAAAAGTCGGGAAAAAAAAATGTAATTGCAAAGAAAAATCAACCTTCCCGGTTCCAAATTCTTTGTTGAGAGTAGACAAGACAACAAGGTTAGGTGGAGATCCAGTTATAACCCCTGTTCCTCCTGAAAAAATCAAGACTAAATTAAAACAAAATTTTTAAGATTTTATAATGTTTGAAATTACCGATGTTTGAAGCGTATGCACATGCTAAAAGAAGAAAGTTTCTTGACTTTGAATCCCGGGGTTTTTTGACAGTTGTCTCAATATCTTTCTGAAGAAAAAAGTATTTTCGGGATTTTGTAATTAAGGTTCAAGTTTTTCACAGAGATTAACAGAAAACAATGGAATAGGAAGACGACATTATAGAAATGCATAACTTTATTTTTTTTTTAAATGAAATAGCCTTACTAGACACTTAAAAAATCGCTAATTTAGTTGCCCTGTCTCATGCTCATTGAACTTTTTATAGTTATAACTTAATTCTTCCTATTTCAGAGTTTTCTAGTTATATCTGTAATATATACTATTTCCATAATTATAATAAAAGATCCCCGTAAAATGTTACATGTTCATCAGTTTCATTTCCATTCTGATCCGAATTGATCGCCTTGTCAATAGCATCTACAATTGGAACCATCATAGCCGTAGCAGCAGTGTTAGAAATCCACATTGACAAGAACATTGCACAGATCATGAAACCTATATTTTATTGATATTTCCTTACTAATTACTATCATTAAAAGTTTATAGAAATGTAATAGTGTTTTTCAATATTTAACCAGATATTGTTGAAATTAAAAAAATAATCAAATAAAAAACGTTAATTGTCCTTGATTATGAAAAAAAGTGCTAATCAGAACCTAGCGGAATAAAAGTTGTCGCAGTCAATTCTTTAATTAGAACAACCGATAAAGGTTTTTGTTACCAGTAAACCTTTAAACATGAGATTTGATCTAGGACTTATAGTATTGGATATTCTGTTAAGTCTATATATTCAGCAGCTGAAATTGATATCCAGTTGACAAACTTTANACTTTAAAGAACTTGATATCCCGTTGACACACTTTAAAGAGCTTGATATCCAGTTTACAAACTGAATTTGATATCTAGTTAAACAATTTTAAAGAACTTAATATCCAGTTGAATAATTTTAAAGAACTTGATGTACAGTTTAAATATTTTAAAGAACTCAATATCCAGTTGACAAACTGAATATGATATCTAGTTAAATAATTTTAAAGAACCTAATATCCAGTTGAACAATTGTAAAGAACTTGATATCCAGTTAAACAATCTTAAAGAACTTGATATCTAGTTAAACAATTTTAAAGAACTTGATATCCAGTTAAACAATTTTAAAGAATTTAATCTAATTGTAGACACCAACATTCTCGCATTTTTATCTCACAATTTTACAAATTGTGTAAAACTACTTTTTCAGGAAGTTAATATTTTTACTTTTCCACATATCCCCTTGTACTAGGAATCCTTTGTTAAGTAATATTCTCTGTTAAATAGTTGTAAAGAATTAAAACGTTACACACGCAAATCTGCCCCTTTGGTAAAAGTAAATTCAACCTATATGATGCATAAAGTCTGACCGCGTCAACCTTGTTGCACCGGCTAGTCCTGTCCATAGAGCTAGGTACAGTACAAACTGGGACCGGATAGGTTGACCCGGCTCGGAAATTCAAATGTACTTTGGCTGCCCATGTACAGACTATTATATTCCGCATAATTCTGGTTTTTACTGTACATAATATATATATTTTGATGTATTGGGATAAAGGAAAATATTCCTAGCATGAGCATTCGTTTACTAGTCCCCACACCTTGAATTATATTTAGTGCAATCCTAAACAAATAAAACTATTTCAATTATAAACTTTTTTCAAAAGTAAAAATAGTGGAGGGTAGAGATTCAGAACAAGCAGAAAACAGTGTAAAAATAGGAAATGCGAATAGTTAGAACTAGGGTTTCCAACACAATTAGATTTTTCTTGAGCGCAATTGCGGGCACAGTAATTTCAACACAATTCAGAGCAATACAAGAACACTTGCCCGCAATTATATTATGTAACCGTTAATTTCAAACTAATAACTTAGAAACAAAGAGAATAGAATATATATTAGAACTTTTTTCTAGTAAATTCCACTCTAATATATATTCTTTTCTCTTTGCTTAGAAAATTGAACAGGAAAAATTGGAAGGGAAATCTCTACTCTATCATATACAATCATTGAAACCGTTAGCGAATGGAGACAAACATTAGAGATGGGGGCTTGGAAGACATCCCCCCCCCCTTACATTTATTTCACTATAGGTGGAAGAGAGGGAGTGTCAAAAATTTTTTGTTTTGATTAGTCAGATGTAACAATGATTAAACAGTTCAATACAGAAATCAGAAGAATCCCAACTAATACCATTATTATACAAAAAGTAGAAGCACCAATAATGTTAAATTTGATGTATAGTATACCTAACATGAAGACCACAGTGTTCAACAGCTATTGCCATTACTAGACCAGCCAGGAACATCATGTTAGTTCCCTTGGAGCAATTATATTTCACAAAAATAAAATTTGCTTTAATGACAGAAAAATAGAAAAAAATAATTTTTTTCCCTACGCGATAAAAATAAAAATCTAAAGTATTTTAATAAAATGATTAAATTACCCAAAAAATGAACATTTATTAACAATTTGAGTCGTAAATTCTGTTTAGAATTGTATCTTGTTAAAATTGTATTGATATCTTTTTGTAAAAAGCTGGTTTTAACATGGACCTAACAGCTTAAAAAGCTTTTTAGATTAGCGGAATTCAACAAAAATTGTTGCTTTCTATATATAAAGGATGTTTATTTTTTATAATTTTAAAAGTTAAACCACGCAGTAAACAAATTCTAACGTTTTTTCCTTTAAAACCAAAATTTACCTTTAAATAGTTGATACAAACAGCATTGGTACTGGCTACACCAGTCAAGGGTAGTAAAACCACAGGTAGTAAAGATGTAATTGCCAGGGGGGTACATTCACAAATCCAATATACTGCACACACCAGAATATTGTAGGCACACCACATAGCCTAAATATTTAAAAATATCATGTCATGCTAAAAATAACTTTAAAATAATATTTTTAAATTTTAGAAATCTTAACAATCAAATTTTTACCTTTTCATTTTCAGGATCTGCAGTTAATGGTATAGCTGTTAGAACAACAGGAGCTATTACAGAGATCCAAGATCTCCAGAACCTCAGAACCCGGAGTACAGGGTTAAACACTGAAATATAGGATTAGAATATATCAGAGATACAGGATACCCAGAACCCGGTATACAGGGTTAAACATTGAAATATAGGATTAGTATATATCAGAAATACAGGATATCCAGAACCCGGAGTACAGGGTTAAACACTGAAATATAGGATTAGTACATATGAGATACAGAATACTCAGAACCCGGAGTACAGGGTTAAACACTGAAATATAGGATTAGTAGGAGTATAGGGTTAAACACTGAAATATAGGATTAGTAGGAGTATAGATTTAAACACTGAAATATAGGATTAGTAGGAGTATAGATTTAAACACTGAATCATATAGGAGCCATGACAAAATATATATTTTAATTCAAGAATTTTGTTGAACTTACTGTTAAGCATTTTTTATAAAGTTTTGATATGATGTATTTCAGTTTTTTTTCATGCCATCCTGAAATTTTAAATCTTTAAATGATTGCTTAACCTAATCACTATTTGGGAGGTGGGGGGTATGTCCTCCCCCCGAAATACTCGAAAAAGTCTTTCACTCATCTCAACTCTATGGACAAACTCCCCCACCAACATATTTTTTGGACAAAAATTGCCCAATCGGGATAGGGTTAAATTAAACCTATAGGTTTATAGATTTCAGATTTTTGATATTCTAAACGAATGGTACAAAAGTAGTATGAAATGAAATCTTGAAACATGAAATTGAGCTTTCTGATTTTCTTTCTGATTTTTTGTAATCCATTTTTTCAAAACTAGCTATGCAGAATTTGAAGTATAGACCAAACCGCAGTTAACTCCAAATAAAAGAAATTGAATTCCCCTCTCTTAAAGGTTATTAGCCTGAGCAATATGATAATCAACCGTAAGGTAATATAAGTGGGTGATATCTGGATGATATGTGGGTGATATTTGGATGATATGTGGGTGATATCTGGATGATATGTGGGTGATATCTGGATGATATGTGGGTGATATCTGGATGATATGTGGGTGATATCTGGATGATATGTGGATGATATCTGGATGATATGTGGGTGATTTCTGGATGATATTTGGGTGATATCTGGATGAAAAGTGGGTGATATCTGGATGAAAAGTGGGTGATATCTGGATGATATGTGGGTGATATCTGGATGATATGTGGGTGATATCTGGATGAAAAGTGGGTGATATCTGGATGATATGTGGGTGATTATCATCTTTATAACTAGTTAATACCGATAAACCTGTAAATCCCCGTTTAGTTACTAATTCTGGTTTACAGAGTTACCTCAGGCATAAAATTGTAAAAAAGCACAAACCAAACATGGTTTAAGAAATGAAGATTTCATGGTTGGAGACTTTTCAATAAACTAATGTAATTTATGCTACAAACTTTGGTTTTATAATTCTTTCTTTTGCAACACAATAACTTAGACATTAGATATTTTAAACTATAAACTATCTAAGTTTTAAATATTGTTTACACCACAAGGTTGCAAAGAAATATGGGTTAGAAAATTTGATTATGTGGCAAAAACACAATCTTTTCTTTAAAAGGTTTAAATTCGGAGGGTTTACATAAACGATGCAAATAGTTTTATCAATTTTAATAAGAAAAAAGATATAAATTTTAAAGAAACATATGTAAAAAAAAAATATTTCAGCGTTCAATGACTGAGCAAAGGATTGAAAAGAAACGAAATTTTTAAATCAAAGGTTGGAAACATTTTTAATGTCTTAACATTTTGAATTAGCAAAAATAAACTTTTATCAAATAAGAAATGCCACAAATATAGAAAATACCAGTAAAGAATAAAAGAATGAAAAATAGTTTAATGTTGCATACTGCCTAAATATATCACTGATAGAACGCTTGATGACTGAAACTGAACTGATGATAACATTAAAGAACAAAACAAAGTGAATTTATTATCCAGGGGTCAAAGGTAGAATAATAGATAGAAAGGGAGACTACATTATCAAAATTTAAAAAATTATCTTTTTTTTAATGTTTACTACGTCAAAATTAAAATAAACAGTGTTAAAAAAACATAAACAGAAAGAATCCATGACAATATTTAAGGGGGTCAGTAACTGTATAATGTTTATGTATAAAAAGAATGAAACAAGGGTGTATAGGAGGGGGGAAGGTACAGTAGACTGCCATTGTATAATTAATTGACTGCATTTAGTATTTACAGTAATTTAGAGTCAACGTACGTGATAATGTAATCTGGCTCATCTTGGGAATACGGAGGGGGGGGGGACCACTTTACCCCCCCCCCCCTTCATGATATCATAAACTGATTTGAAATGGCCCTTTATTTGAAGTAAAGAGTTCAATTCATCCATCCCTCTTTTTTTTAAATGGAGGGTCATATGAAACTACAACGACAGCTGGTCCCTTTAGTTAAATAATTCTAAAAATTTATATATCAACTTCTATAGGAGGATGATATATCAACTTCTATAGAAGGATTAGGTAAAAGTACTGATGGGAGGTCCGTTTTTAAACATTAATACTTTTTCGACTTTTTAGAGGCTTTACAAGTTTCAGAGACGTTTAAAAATGTTTTGTTTGATAAGTTTGGATTCATTACATTATGCAAAATTTTTACTTTGACCAAAGATTTTGACCAAAACGAACTTTTAAAACGATAAATAAAATAGTTTTGGTCAATATCTTTGGTCAGAGATAAGTTTTTTTGTAAAAACTATTAAAAGCAAACTTATGAAACATAATATTTTAAGACAGGTTAAACTTTTTAGATTCTTGGGGAGCACTTTTAAAGCAAAAATACTTTGAATGTTGAAAAATGTTTTTAAAATGTTTTAAACACTATCTGCCTATCCTTAGGTAAAAGGACGTAACCTATTAGATAATGTATTTTCTTGAAATATATTATACTAGATTTCTATTGATAATCAAGTGCAAACTGGATAAATTAAAGTAAAAAGAATGCGTCAATCTAGTTGGATTCAGTTCACCTATACAAGAAGTGCTATACATTTTTGTGGTAAGCTATTGTTAAACACGTTAAAAAAGCTGCAAATATTTTCAAAAAATGGTAAATATTTTTTCGACACTCCCAACCACAAAAACACTTTAAAACACATTTGAATCCAAAAGAAATATTAAATGCCGAGTTATATTTCTTTCTCAAAATGTTTTTTTTATTTTATCAAATCCGGGAATAAAATATGAGTTGGACAAAAGTTGACTGAATTTCAATAATTTTGATAAATGTAATGCTGATTATTACTGGACTTACTATTAATCAATTTAATCCATAATTATATATTTAACAACGGAATACCTTGTTAACGATCTAAACCTGCCATTTTGAAATTAGTAAATCAGCACATGTGGTAAAAATATACCATAATTACATATTTAGTGATTAATGAAGAGTTTGAAAATATTTACAAACTTAAAGTGGGTAAATTAAAGTGTGTAAATTAAAGTGTGTAAATTAAAGTGCGTAAATTAAAGTGCGTTAATTAAAGGGGAAGCTCTGTGAATTTTAGACAAGACAGATAAAGAGCGAAAACTTCATGCAGCGATATGCAACATTATTTTAACTTTAAACATGGCTTCAAAGCTTTTGTTGAGAAAGATTTAAATATTAAGCTATAAGTTGTTATAAAACAAATTATTTTACAAGACACTTTTAAAATCACTAAGTTAGTGAAATGGGTCTGTTTACACAGCAAAATTACTGTGTCTCACTCTCATGATCATTTGACTTTTTAAAGTTATAACTTGATGCTAAAAGTCGTCTTCTTGTTTCAGATTTTTCTGGTTTTCACTGTGTACTTTCTTAAGTGAAAAAAATAAGAAAATTCAATATTAAACTTGTCGAATGTCCCAGAAAGCCGAAAGCCCAAAAAACTCAGCTATTTTTAAAATGGAAAAAATCACTTGTCACTTGGAGTCTTAAAAAAAAAAAACTGGATTTATTTCTTGAGCTTTGACAAAAAAACCTTGTTTGATAAAATATCTCACAGAACTAAACTTCTCCGTTCACTCTATATGTAAACACATTCTTTTCCTGAAAATGAAGAGGGAAGGCTAGCCGCAACAATTCTTCGTCCGAGCCACATTCTCCTTATTCTTTTTTCGAGCCCCTTCCAAAAGCTCATTCTTGCAATCTAGTGTCTCATAAAGCAATGAATTTTTAGTTTTAGAATCTTTATTTCAAAAAACTTTCGGTTTTCGGTGTGATTAAAAAAAATAAAGTTTTATGAACTTGGAATAATCAGCGGCATTCTATTATAGGAATATCTGATCTAAATGCTTGTATAACAAAGAGAAGACAAATCTAGGAAATAGTACTTTTATTAGGTTAAAACTAAAATTTTTTTATTTGCTATAAGTCAAAGTTGATGCCAACAGTACTTCCCCACGTATAGCCAGACTTTAAGAAAAGGATGATCACCTCTAATAATTTTACAAAGATAATATTTTAAGGACAAGCATCCGGCGGTGGAACAGACGAGAAAATTAGGAAGATATGGCTCGGATGAAGAAATGATGTGGCTGGCCTTCCTCCCCTTCTGCAAAACAAGCCATAAATTTCCAAATGTAACTGGATCGGTTCTATTGTTCACTATTCTCGATTTTTCTTCTTCTTTATTATCCTTTGTTTAATTCTCCGCAAACACAGATAACCCCCGGTGTCACGTTAAAAAACACGCGGTGTCACGTTGAAAAATGCCCATGCAAAACGTAAGCTACTTAGAATACTTTACAGTGTTTTTTATGTGCGATGGACAGAAGTTTAATTTCCTTGTTTTTTTGGTTTTTTTTTCATTTTAATAAAAACTACATTATTGCTGCATTTAAAAACTTATTTAAAGAGAGTGCTCGCGAAAAATGAAAAGGGGGAATAGGCTTACGGCGAAAAATAATCGCTTTTGATTGCTACTAATCTATAAGGAGAAAATTGATAAAACGACCAAAGAACGTACCGTTTATACAAATTCGGAAAGTTGCAACATTTAACTCTGATCGTAAAATAATCAATTTAATTCAAAACAAATCATTCAGATATTACAAACAATAGTCATGGCTTATTTTTCGACACATTCGTATATAGTCTCCTTATAGACAGAACAGATAGAAGTAAGATTAGGAGCGATCAAAAGCGCTTATTTTTCGCTGTAAGCCTATACCCCCTTTCATTTTCGCGAACACTCCCTTTCATATGGTTTAAATGTCTAAATTATTAAGAAGTGCCATGCTATCCGTAACTCGGACGTGCATAATATTATTTCTTTATTTTTTCATTCAGAAAAATCTGACTAAAATAAATTAAGAACCCATGTAATTCATCAAAAGCTTCAATCTTAAAAACATCCGGACAAAATAATGTCAATTTAAAAAAATAATATTAGATTAAACAAACCGTAAACTTCTGCTAGAATTACAAGTTGCTTTTATTGGGCTATAAATC